GGGTAAGCTTTTTCACTCATTTGTTTCTGCATTGTTTTACTTCATATGTTTTTGTAGAAACAATTAAGCTTGTTGTACTTATTGTTGACATTGAATCAACTAAACATCAAAAGAAATTTGACTTTTTGTAGTACTTTTTTACAATGGCTTCCAAGAATGGCAAACACACTATTAAGGTTAACCACTACATCAACTAATGTCTAGTGTTTTGGATCTTTCTTCTGTGATCCTAGATTGCAAGTTTTCCTTGGCATTCATTGCAAGTAAATTTTCAGTTTATTATTACTATTTGTGCTATTTCTTCTATTCTTAAGTTTTTTTTTTCAGCATGGACGAAGACACTACCTAAAAAAGGGTAAAACAAAGAATTGTGCAATGCAATCACAAAAGTTCAAAAAGCAAAGGTCAAAAAACTTATTTTTGGAGCATTAAATCTTAACAACACAAATAACACTGATCAAGTACCCTTGATTGTGGCTTGTGCAGTAGGTGATCAAACTATTATTAAACTGTTATTACAAAAAGGGGTAAACAAAAACTTTAAAAGTATTCAAAATGGCTTTTTCTAATATATGTTGATACTTTTGGCTTTACAAATGCTTTTGGAATGTTCCCGTACCTTGAGGCAATCAAGTATTGCTTGCCATTCAATCTTATTGAAGACCTCTCATTAGCACCAGCATTGGTTAGTATAAGTGACATTGTAGATAACTTGTCACACACCACGGGTTTCATGGATGAAAACAAAAAGTAGACTAGAAAAAACATATATGGGAGCTAAAGTGAGTTTTTGAACAAATTCTAAGTGCCTCTGACGATGATAAGCCTAACCATTTACAACAATCAATAACTACTCAAGAGATGGCGAGTTTCCTACTAGCACTAGGAAGTCCATAAAGCTGGGAAAATTTGGAAAATTTAAAAATCTATTGAAGTAGCAGGATGTTTTAGTTGTTAGTAATTAAAGACCATGTACTACTTTAGATACCTAAAGCCAAGTTTGAGCTATATTTGAAAATTAATCTATAAGGCTCATCCGTTATAAAAAGATAACCGTTAGGAATTTGAAGCACCATTAACTATTTACTATTACCTTATTTCAGTTGTTTAGTGGTGAGAGATAAGGTTTAGGGCAAGGATATTTCATAGAACTTGTTGGAAGGTGAGGGCAATAGCGTTGGAAGGGAGCTAAAGATCAGCCACTTGCAAGATCTAACCTACATTTCAGGATGGGTAAAATCCCCAATCACATAGATAGGAAGACTACATTTTTTTTAAGACACAACGGTGCAAAAGGATGCCTATTGAAGGTTTTTGATCTTGGTTTTTTCTCAACTTTTGTTGATCAATGGGCTGTTCATTTATGGCATCTACTTAAAGATGCACAAAGCTACCGATCAAGATCCTCAATAGAAAGCTCAAGCACCCCTCATTACTGCTTTTTTTCAAAGATGCATAATAGTGAAAGGGTTTTTGGTCTTTGGTTTAAAGCATAGTTTCTCATCTTTGGCAATTTTTTAGTGATGCGCAAAGTTGTCTCGGCCAAGGAGGATGTCGACACATTTAGTGATGTAGATGAGTGGCAATGTCTTGAGGGTGGAGATGACAAACCATACATGTGCAAGCTCGAGAATGTCCTTACATACCCCCTAAAGGGATTTTGTGACAAGCAATTTTTCAACAAAGCAGCTTTAAATCAGCATAGAATCAAATTCCACAACCGTGAAATCGTAAGTTTTTTTATGTTTTTTTTCTTTTCAATACTTTTTTTTTTCTAGTTGACAATGCTAAAATCTGGAAATGGACATGGGAGGAAGAGTAAGCAAGAGTCCTCTTCCAAGAAATACCAGGTAAAGAAATTTTATTCCTCAAAACTTACATTCAAATTTTTATACAAATTTTTATTATGCAGACATTAGAAGACCAAGTGTGGGTTCACAATGAAGCGCTGCCACGCAGATTGGAGAACCAAAAGTTGAAGCTTCTAAACATGAAGTATAGCCATATCAAAGATGAAGACACCCGAAAAATTAAAATCCTGCAAGATCTAAAAACATGGAAAAAACACTATACTGATTTAATGCTGGAAAATGACAAGAAGAAGCAGGATAGGCGACTACGTGCTGCTCAACGTGAGCAAGAACTGGTAATTGTCTTGTTGTCTAAAATGTTTTTATTCTATTATTTCTGCAGAGAAAGAGGAAACAAGAAATAAGGAAAAAGAGAGAAGAACAGAAGAAGAAAAAAATTAAGCATGAGGACAACCATTATCATGATGAAGAGGTGAAGCAAGAAAGTTTTTAACCATCTTGTCTTAAACGGAGCTACCCTGACAATATAAAGTATAACTTTTTTCAAATTCTTGTAATTGAACCCAAGAAAAAGAGAAAATCTGGACTGCAAAGGACCAAGCCAATCAAAGTTATTGATCTTCAGATTGTTCTTTAAAAATGAATGCTGCTGTGGGCTTTGGGACGTCGTATGCTTCGGACAAAAGCTTTGCTGACCAAGGGCCTTCGTTTCTTCTGCAACTCTCGCGGCTTTTTGCTGAGATGCTCGTTACCATGTAAATCCATGTACAAAGTGATCAATCGAGCGCCTACAGTCGCAAAATCTCACAGTCGCGATGGTGACCAACTTTTTCGTCACTAGCAAACGGCTGTCTGTCTCCTTTGATCCTCTTGGTTCTGTCCCTGCCGGCGCTAGCAAAACCCGGATAGCACCACAAACGGGCTAGATCTCCTGGAATCCAACTCGTGCGCTTTGCACGCGGCCCAGGCCCCGCGCTCCATATCGTTGTGAGCTTTACACGCATTGAGCAGAGCCGTCCACGCGCTTATATGGGGCCGCACTGGCATGCTCGCGATCAGCTCCTCGGCCTCGTCGATCCAACCAGCCCGGCAAAAGAGATCCACCAAGCAGCCAAAGTGAGCCGGGACAGCCTCAACCTGGTAGTCTTCCACCATGCCCGAGTAAAACTCTCTCGCTCGATCCAGGAGTCCGAGGTGGCTGCAAGCAAACAGCGCGCACAGCAGCGTCACGCCGTCCGGCCGCGTCCCACTCAGCTCCATTCTCTCGTAGAGCTTGAGAGCATCGGTGGCATGGCCGTGCTGGGCATAAGCACCGATCAGCGAGTTCCATGTCGCCACCGTTGTAGTCTTCATCCCCTGGAACACCGCTTCCGCCTCTGCGAACTTTCCACACTTGCCGTACATGTTTACCACGGCCGTCGCTACAAAAACATCCGTGACCATCGTCGTCCCCTCCACAAGCCTGTGAATCTTCCGGCCTTCGGCGAGGTTCTCGACGCTGGTGCACGCGTCCAGAGCACAGACGAGAGCCACCGCGTCTGGCCTGACGCCTTCCACGACCATTTCCCTGTAGAGATCCAGAGCCCTGCCACCGTAGCCGTGTTCTACCATCCCCATGATCATGCAAGTCCAGCTGACGACGCTCCGCCTCTTCATTCTCTCAAACACCGCGACGGAGTCCTCCAGGCTAAACTTGTTGTAGGCTGTTATCAGAGTGTTGCCGACTTGTTCGTCCTGTTCCAGGCCCTGATCCGCAAGCTCTTGATGGATTTCCCTGAGCTGTTCTAAGCTGGAGCAAGCCGGAAGCAGGCTCAAGTACGTGACGGAGTTTGGCTGAAGCCCCGCTTTCTTCATTCGCCTGTACAGATCTACGGCCTCTTTGCAATGCCCGAGCTGGGAACAAGCCGTAACCATTGCGTTCCATGTCACGTCACTTCGCTGTTTCATCCCCTCGAATACAGCCCTGGCATCTTCCACACTGCCGCACTTCCCGTACATGTTGAGCAGCGCAGTCTCGAGAACGACCCCAGGTGTGATTCTACTGTCCACAATCTGTCGGTGGACCTGTCTGCCATCTTCGAGGGACTCCCGGCTGTTGAATGCCCCCAGAATAACTGTGAATGTCACCGAGTCGGGAGCTACGTCCATTCTCTTGAAAAGCTCGAAGGCTTCTTTCCTGTGTCCCTGTTGAATGTAAACTGACATGAGAGCATTCCACGAGATCACGTCCCGGAAAGCAATCCTGTCAAACACTCTCTTTGCATCGCTCAAGCTCCCACACTTCCCAAACATGTTCACCAGTGCATTTCCAACGAATTTGTCCCTCTCGAGCCCTGCAGAGACAACGTCCTGGTGAATAAGCCGTCCGCTTTCAAGAGTGCAAGCGTGTAAAACGTTGAGAAAAGTTACCCTGTCCGGCTTCAAGTTCATGTCATAGTAAAGCTCTAGCGCCTCCGAGAAGTGCCCATTCTGGGCATATGCGGCAATCATCACGTTCCAGCAGACAACATTCTTCACAGGGATCCGGTCGAAAATCTTCCTGGCTTCTTCAGCACTGCCGCATCTGCCATACATGTTCATGAGCGCAGAGTCAAGGATCAGACTAGACTCCAGCCCACTCTCAACAAAACGCGAATGAAACTGCTTACCTTCTTCCAAACTCCCCACCAAGGAGCAAGCAGTAGCAGCTGTAACGAAGGTGACTCTGTCTGCGCGGATTCCGTGAACATCAACCATCTGCTTGAACAATTCCAGAGCCTGATCTCCAGACCCATTGTTGCAGTAGGCACCCAGCATGAGGTTCCACGAAAAGCAGCTGCTTCTCTTTATCGAGTTGAAGACGGCTCTGGCTTCTTCCACACTCCCACACTTGCCGTACATCTCCACCAGCGTGTTGTCCACTGCCTTGAGCTGCCCGTTCGCGACAAGGTGCCGATGGATGCGCCTGACGTCGTCGAGAGACTTGTGATCCCCCGCTTGCCGGAGAAGTGATGCGTACGTAGCCGAATCGATCTCCATGCTTTGCTCGTCTAGCAATTCGAGAGCACTCTGGAGCTGCTTCAAACAACCCATCTTGCTGCTGCTGGTAGCTCTGGCTGTCGAAGATGGTGGTGACTTTCTTACGATGTTACTTGCCCATTTCCGCATCAGCAGGATGTCTACTTGCTTGAACCATAGGCTAGATAAAAAGAAGAGAAAGAAACAATGTGGTCATTTTACCCAAACTCCAAACTCAAGATGTTTACCATGATTTTCTCAAGATTTTCTAGTTGTCGGTCTCTTCCTCGGCTTGTGCAGCAGGCAAAAAGTATGTATCCAGTTGCCAGTATTTCTCTCGGACCCCTTCCCAGGTCTTCTCGTCCAGGCAGCTCCTCACTGGCAAAGGAATGAACTGAGTGGTGAGACCGATCTGTGCAAGTTCCAACGCCACCAGCTGACAGTAAACAACGTGAAAGAACGCATTGTGTCCGCACAGACCATTGAAGTAGGAGTAGATTCCTCCAGGCTTCAAGAGTTTTGGTAGCTGGGAGTGGAACTCTCGCATATCTTCGTAGTACTCCCCGTAAGTGTCAAAGAAAATCCCTGTGTAACAAGATTTTTAGCTGCAAGTAAAGCGAGATGGAACTTACCATCATACTGTCCCAGCTCGGAAATAACATCTTGCCATCGCCCGAAGACAATTCGAACGTTCGCCTTCTCTTTCCAGCCTGTGGAGATCATTCGAGCGTAAACATCTGGATGCGCTTCGATGATCGTGTGAGACGATGGATTGTAGCTCTGGATCGCAGTGTCGACGAGTCCCATGCCAAAGCCGACGTTGAGAATGTCGTCACCACCGCAGCAAACCGCCTTAGCGTGAGCTTCCATAAGAGGTCTCTCCCACGCCATCATAACGCCCTCACTCTCCTCGTTCACCAGCTTTCCTTCACTAAAACTTAGCCGAGCTTCCAAGTAGTCCTTGTTGGAAAATTCGCTGTTCTTGGTGGTTTGTCTCGAGGCCGCTCCAAGCACGAGCTCAGCTTTCACGCCTTCAAGGAAAAGGAAAGAAATATATCGATCACATTGGCAGGGAAATCGCAAAATCGAGCAAGAAATCCATGGAAACAAGAAAAACTAGGGAAGAACAATACCGGCATCGAGAGGATGATCACATTGGCAGGGAGATCGCAAAATCGAGCAAGAAATCCATGAAAACAAGAAAATCTAGGGGGGAAATCGCAAAATCGAGCAAGAAAAATCTAGGGAAGAGCAATACCGGCATCAAGAAGGATGTCGTAGCAATCCTGGTGACCCGCGTCCATGGCATAATCTCCAGCGCAGCGTCCGGATCGATCCAACGCGTTCCAGGGAGCGCCGGCATTCAAGACAACACGCACTACCTCGGAATGCCCAGCTTTTGCCGCGGCGATGAGCGGCGTGAGACCTGTAGATGGATTCGCGTAGCTTGCATCCCCGCCGGCTCGAATCAGCTCTCGCAGCTCCGTGGCATCGCCCCGCGCCGCGGCATCGAGCAGCGCATCCATAATCTCTCGCGAATGAAACAACTCTACCTAGGGTTCTTGGAGGGGATGAGATGTTTTGAAAAAAATTTGGATGATACATTTGCGCGAGACCTCGATCACTCTTCCATGGCGATTGCCGCTGGTGCTGGCTCCGGCGCTGGCGATCCTTCGGTGGTGGAATCAGCTGGCTTGGGAGGCAGTGGCGTCGGCGGCAGCCCTCGACCCTTGTTGCGCTTTCGGGGCCGCGACTGGCATCGCAAATCGATCGATTGGAGGTCTCAACCAGTGAATCTAGAAAGAAGAAAAGGAGCTTACATTCCCAAACGAGTGCCTGAATCGCTTCCCTTTGGCTGTGCGCTTGTCGCCCCTTCCACAGTAGACTGTTTCCATCAATCGTCAATCGATCAAATCGAGAGAGATAGAGAGAGAGCATTGTAGAGCAAGAACGAACCAGATGGATAACACGAAATAGATGGAACGCAAGCGAGCTGTGCCGGCCGCGTTGGCGCGTGAATTGCCAGGGCGCTGGAGCTGCCAGCGAGGAATGCTGCTCGATTAGACGCCATGGCCGTGGCCATCGCTGGAACCTCCAAATTCCAATCCCTTGTCTTGTGAGAAATCCCTCATCCAATCCATTAGACATTATTTCTCATTAAGCAGTATGAGTTACACAAGAGAAGGCTTCACACAAGTGGTCAGGATGGCCGAGTGGTCTAAGGCGCCAGACTCAAGTTCTGGTCCTCTTACGAGGGCGTGGGTTCGAACCCCACTTCTGACAAATACGATTTTTTTTTCACGTTTAAAGTTTTGTTTACCTCAAAGTTAATCTCATTGATGCATTGTGTCTCCCACTTCCTTTCTCTGCAATGAATCAAGCACTCCAGTCATACATTTATAATCCCAATGCAAGTCTCCCCAAGATCAAAAGAACAGCAATTGTGAGAGCTCAAGACACTTCCAAGCCCATTTTGGCTGGATCAAGGTAATGAAATGCATTGTCAACTCTTTCCTTGATTGAAAGATCTCCCCGTACTCGTGTGAAGATCACAAAAGCCAATCTCTACTTCTGGACAACGGTATGCGTCAAGAGAGAAGTATCAATTTGATTTCTCAAAGAGTTCCTCTTTTTTGCTAGATCTGAGGATGTTTTCAAAAGCTCCAGCCCGATTTCTACTAATCTCAGGTGAGTGGTAGCTCTTCCCAAAAGATACTGCTCATGGCAATCGACTTCTCTGCATAAGATTTGACAGGTTTTTGGGGCTGGCATCACTCACAAGGCCGGACGATGTTGTCCCGTCCTTGATGCTGAGCTTGGGAGGGAGCTGGATGACCGCAAACTTAAGCCTGGAGTTTATCAATCTTCCATTGGTGTGGACGACCGCTCTTTGCAGCGCTTGCATCGCCGGGGCCTCTATGCTCGCCAACGATTGCTACGATCACAGCAATGGGACCGACGCGCTCAACAAGCGAGAGTCAGCGCTCGAGAGTGGCCAATTGGAAGTAGCTCACGTAAGAATATTATAGTCACATTCATTAAGAATTCTAATAGCAGTTTGATTCGTCAAGGTTGCATTGGCTAGTGGATGTATCTATGGCGCCGCTTTGCTGGGAGCTTGTTACTTGGAGACTCTAAATGCGAGGCTTTTGGTCGCCACCTCGGCTTTGATAACTTTCATCTATACACCTTTGTTCAAGAAGGTGACGATAGTGAAGAATTTGGTGGTGGCAGCTGTGGTAGCGAGCTCTATTCTCGCTGGAGGCTTGGCAATCACAGGTGAATTGATAGATCACACAAGGATCTTGCAAGGATCCTTTCAAGTCATAATATGAATTACATCTCTTTTGTAGGAGATGCTGCAAGTTTTCCGATGAGAACTTACGCCTCCACTCTCTACATCTTCCTCTCGATTTTGGGGCGTGAGATTCTCAAGGACGTGGTAGATGTGGATGGTGATCGAGTCACGGGTGTGAGAACTTTCCCGGTTATCTTTGGAAGGGAGCTTGGGATAGTTTTATCCGGAGCATGCTCTCTGGGAGCAAATGTTTTCCTGGTAAAATGGTTTTAATTATCACAAAGTAAAAATGCTCTAACCAGAGATAATATTCATGCAGGCGAAGCTTTTGTGGTCCAACTCTTCACACTTTGTGTTGCTCATTGCGATGGTGAACTCGTTTCCAATGCATTTTAAGCTGCTTAAACTACTCATGCTTAGCAATGGCGATGCTAATGTGGAAAGCGTGGTCAAGCTGGATACAAAGTTTACAATGGCATTTGGTCTCTATCTCCTCGCCATAGCAGTATAAAGTAATTCAATTAACTAATGCTGTAAGAGATCCACAAACTTTATCGGTCAGCTTGAGCGCAAAGCAGAACATTGAGATCGGGTAGAGCAACAAAGCTGTAGAACTCTATATGGTAGCTTGTGTGTGACTGACCAGGTCTGACCATTTTGTTTGAAGCTCAGAGATAAGGCCAAGAAACTAGCTTTGATGGTTTCTCTTCATCTATGCAGCCTGTCCTGAAACGATTGAATTTTCACAGTGGAATCTTCGTCAGTCGATCCAATTTGTCTTTGTATAAACAAAGGTGAATATAAGCAGAAGGAAAGGAAAAGAGAAACACGGCAGGTTAGTCGCTCTCAGTTCTTCCACAGGAGCAAATGCATTAGTAGACTGTGGTGGCTTCCTTATGTCTCGCATAGATCCTTCTTAAATGACAACATACTCAGAAAAAAAGGCCTTCCACTCTCAGGATCTCTGCAAGACTTGAGGAAACCACCACAGTCTACGATTTTAATACACTTGAAACATATTCGCTTGTAAGTCTTGCAGTGATTTGTTGCAATACACTTCGATCTTCTTATATAGCGGTCTCTTTGTGAGACCAACAATAACGTACTCACTTTCTTGTCTTCTTTTCCTTCAGTTCAGTCGCTTCCACAACAAGTCTTAGACAGATCCCTGTTCTATGTGCTTTGAAACAAATAGCCAGTCGCAGAATACACAAAGCTACCTGTTAGAGAGGTCCACAACTTTTTCGCTCAGCTTTGAGCACATTTGAGCGCAGTGTCTTGCTTCGCGCTGAAGGATCGAATCCACTGTTCCACGGCAGAGTTTTCCAAAGCAAGAAGTGCACTCCCGGACGAGTAACTCCCTGGCCTTGCTGCTGTTCCCGTTATGTTGTGCGAAGACTGTTAGCAAAGTAAGCAAGCCTTCGTAGCCTGGAGCTGTGAAGGAAAGAGCCTCCATGATAGCTTCCCATGGCGGAGGTGCCTGTCTCGTTATAAACTTCTCAAACTCCTCTCGGTTTAGAAGGTAGACTTCGTATGCTTTGTAGTACGAGGCCCGCATCCAGCGCTTGTGCCGCTGAGCATCCGGACCTTTCCATCTGCTTATCATCTTCTCTACCTTGCAAGCCATCTCGCTCACTTCGAACAAGTCCAAGTTGCTCGGCTCCTCGAGCATCTTTTCCATCTTGATACCAGAGTTTACGAGATCCCGGTTCTCGGAATGGAGCTTCGACTCAAAGTGGCACCTCTCGCAAGCGCACTCAAATCCCCAGCGAGACTTTGTCTGCCTGCTTCTCACGTCCCACGGCATGAAAGGATCCAGGTATGCCAAGGTAACTTCGTCGCCCGCTTTCAAGTCCCTTGCCGCTCTCACGAGCGAGGCAGATCCCACGGCCTTCTGTGTGGCGCTCGGACAACACGAATGGTTGGCAAAGGCCGTGAGAATCCACAGCCCGGATAGAAACTCGCGTCGCCGCTCTAGTCCTATCACCCGCTCGAACTTGTACCCATAATCGATGGAAGTCTTCCTTGCGCAAGCCGGAATGTCGATGAATCCGATCCTCTGCTGCCAGTTTGTATTCGGCTTGAAGAGATCCAGCTCTGGAATCTCATCGGACTCTACAAGTGATACCAGCTGCTCCAAACTTCTACCCGAGGCCATGCAGTTTCGGACCATCTGTGCAAGAAGATCACTCTCTGCCGGGAGTTTTTCTGAGTCGTGCATAGCAGACAAGGGGTGGCAAAAGAAAAAAACGTCCCCGGCCTTTACATCCTGTGTTGCAAACAGTCCCCTTCCTTTCCCATCTGGAGACATGCCGATGCTCACAGCACCGACAAATTCTCCACACTCGGGCGTGGATTCTCCCGACTCCCTGCTCAAGTAGTACTCGTTCAGATCGAAATGTCCCTGCTCGCTATGCTCTAAGAACCTCTTGCATATTTCCATCTCCCTAGAATTATCGTCCACCAGACCAGACGACTCGAAGCATTCTAGAGCTGCTCGATAGTCATGAAGTTTCAAGAGAGCTCTTGCTTTCCTCAGTAGATTCTCGGAGGAGAATGGACCCTCCGGCTGGAGTTTCAATGCCATCTCGGCATCCTCGAGAGCCTTGTCGAAAAGTCCTGCTCGCAGCCAACCCTCTGATCGATAAGACAGCGCTGCAATCCTGTCTTCCTTCTCAGAACTCTCGTGAACAAAGTTGGCGAAGAGATGCGCTGCGCGAATGTACTCATGGTTTTCCAAAGCAACCATCGCGATTTTCCACGGATCTTCGTCACTGCCTTCCAGTTCTATTCCCGAGATCTCTAGCGAAGCTGGGTTGAGCACCTCGATGCATGGAACACCATCCTTGGCGAAGGAGACCACGGGATCCCTGATAGCCACCGTCGCATCTCTCGGAAACCACTGCCGAGCTTCCTTTTCCGTCCACCAGGAGCTCGCGAAGTTGCAAAGGAAGAGGTAGTAGCGGAAGCTCTGCTCGTCTTCCACGACGTGAACAATGATCCCTTCCCTGACCTCGGCATCGATGCACAGCTTCCCCTGGAGCAATCTCCCAGTAAAATGCTGCTTCGTGAGATCCTTCCCGCGAGCTTCCCTGATCTCGGCCAGCGAAATCGGTTCCAATCCAAGAACACTGCTGTGTGATCGTTGAGAGCGCTGGCTTTGATTGCTTTGAAAGAATGGAAGAAGAGCGCTGGACTTACCAGATCGTATCAACGCCCTGGCATTCTGGATGGATCGCCTCGCAGCGCTCCACAGCGCCATCCAGGAATCGCTTGCCCTAAAATTTGATCCATCCAGCATAGACTATTTGCCATGCCCGCCAAATGCTCGATTCCAGTCTGTTCTTCGATCGATCCAGCTACGCGCAGCTCTTGAGACAATCCCGCGATCTGGACGACTGCCGCCGGCTCGAGGCCAGCGTGCTGGGCAGCGAGCACCGCCGCGATCTCTTCCTCCGAAACCTGATCATCGAAATGTATGGCAGATGCGGCAGCGTGCGCGACGCCAAGCGCGCATTCGACGCGATCGCGATCCCAAACGTCTTCTCCGCCAACATCCTCATCGCCGCCTACGCCCGCGCTGGGAATCTCGCTGGCGCTCGCGGCGTCTTCGATGGAATGAGAGAGAGGAACGTTGTAACCTGGAACGAAGTAATCACTGCATATTCCCACTGTGGCATGGTCGACGAGGCCTGGATGCTGTTTCAACGGATGCCCACGCGCGACGTTGTGTCGTGGACGGCCATGATCACAGCGTTTGCCATTGCTGGGGACTCTGAGGGCGCGAGGTCTGTGTTTGATACCATGCCTCATAGAACTATCGTTTCATCAAATGCTATTCTCACTGCCTATCTAGAGAACGGATCGTTTTACGAGGCGATTGATTTCTTTGATCGAATGGAAAAAAGGAATCTTCTCACATGGACGGCGATCGTCACAGCACTTGCCCAAAGGGGGCATTTGGACAAAGCAAAGAGTTTCTTTGATCGAATGCCGCAACGCAGCTTGATCGCCTGGAATGCCGTGATTGTTGGCTACTGTCGCGAGCCCGAGCGATTGGACGAGGCCAGGGAGCTTTTCGATGCTATGCCGGAGAGAGATTGTGTGTCTTGTAATGCAATGATCGGCATCTATGGCGATAGAGGAGACATCGCTCAAGCAAGAACGATATTCTCGCAATTCCGGGGCGAGGAAAGTGTGTCTCTGAGCACGGCGATGGTCGTGGCATATTCGCACAATGGGCATTTGCTTGAGGCTAGGAATGTGTTTGATAGAGCGCTGGAAAAGGATATAGTGTTGTGGAATGCAATGCTTTGTGGATACGCACACAACAGTTGTTTAGATCAAGCACGGAGTTTTCTTAGCATAATGCCCGAGTATAACACGGCCACCTGGAATATTCTAATAACCGCAAATGCCCGGGAGAGAGATGTTTCGTTAGCCAGGGAAGTTTTTGACAAAATGCCTGTCGAAAAGAATGTAGTGACATGGAATGCATTGCTAGGCGCTCTCTCTCAAAATGGCCTCTGTCAAGAGGCACTGAGGCTTTTTCGGCTTATGGATCTGGAGGGAATGCCCTTGAATGAAGTGACTCTAGTCACAGCACTAGATTCCTGCGTGGAGATTGAAGATGCGAGAATCCTCCACGACTGTATAAATGGAAAAGGCTACGGTTGTAGTGTTTTGCTAGGAAATGCGCTTGTAAGTTTGTATTCTAGATGTGGGTCTCTAGAAGATGTGAAGTGTGCTTTCGATTCGATGCCCACCCATAGCATATCATCGTGGAATACCATGATCGTTGCATATAGCCGGAATGGACATATAGATCTGGCAAAGACAATGTTCCAGCAAATGCCACAGAGGAATATCCTTTCCTTGAATTCGATGGTCTCCGCATATACCCAAAATGGCCATAGTGACTTGGCAATTGAATTAAAGTCCAGCCAATTTGATGAAGTAACACTAGCGGCATTGGTTGATGCGTGTGCTAGCTTGAGTGACCCTTTGGAGGGGAGACTAATCCACAGAGAGGCCGTCACAGCGGGGCTCCAGTCGGATCTAACGGTCAGGAACTCGCTGATCAACATGTACGGCAAATGCGGCAGCGTGCGGGAGGCCGCGACTGTCATGGAGACAATGACGTGCCGTGACGTGCTGACCTGGAATGCCATGCTGACGGCCTATTGCCAGAACAGCATGATCCCAAGTGGACTGGAGATGTTGCTGGTGATGAGGATGGAGGGGATCGAGCCGGATACCGCCACGCATTCCATCCTACTGTCGGCATTTAGCCACGCTGGCATGGTGGAAGATGCCTGCGCGTACGTGGCTGGATTTGCCGGGCATTTGGACTCCGACCACTACATGTGCGTGGTGGATCTCCTTGGCCGCGCTGGCATACTTGATATGGCGTGGATGCTGATTCAGAAGGCGCCACGTCAGAAAGGGGACGATCCCTTGCTGCCGTGGACAACACTCCTTGCGGCGTGTAGAATGCACGGGGATGGAAACACTGGCTTAAACGCCGCAAAGAATGCGATTAGTTTAAAACCTTGTAAATCATCGCCCTACATTCTCGCCTCCTCAACCATGTGGTGATATCAATCCCCATGCTTTATTGTGGGTGCTGTGAGGCCGTGTAAGCAATATCTGTGAGATCAAATATTTACATTGTCTGGTGTGTATCCTTCATGGTCCCTTGACGCTGACTATAAGTAGTCAATTTCAAGTATAGTCAACAAAAAGTCCAAACCGTGTCCAAGTGCCGGTGCCAACGCATGGAGTTGGTTTTGTTTGTTTAGAAATTCCAGACAGAAGCCCACTTTTCCAGGGAAGTCAAAACCTGCCCATCCGACGTGTCGAACGACTATTAGGTGATCGCTTGTCCGGGCATTGACGAAGAGAGTTTGCATTTAGGACGGGCTCCACCTCGGATGCCAGCTCGGCATTTCTATCGTGGACGGGCAGCCGTCGGATCGATCGTCGGCTCGTAAGAGTACTCCTTACACGTGAAAGATGCGGCTTACCGGCCATTGGCTTTCAAAAACCCTCCACACACATTCCCTCCCTCCGTGTTGTTATGGGCCTTATATATCCTTGCCTCTGGAAAGAACAGGGCAAAATATTTTGGGCTTGTCGAGACGATCGCCGCCCTGGTTCTTGATGATTCTTGATCAGCTGAATCGCTTGCCGGCGCAGCGTCTGCTCGATTAGGTCTGATTCAGCGCCAGTTCTTGCGCGGATCGCCATGGATTCTTCGGCGGGGTCGATATTTCTTGTCAAGGGCTCCAGCTTGCGATCGATGAGCCGCGGCAGCAGCGTCTTCTCGATCGAGTCCGGCAGGGAGTACGATGAGGAGGACGCATTCAAATGGGCGTCGCTGGAGAAGCTGCCGACTTACAATCGCATGCGCACGGCGCTGCTGCCCAGCCCCGCCGACGACGACGAGGCCGGCAAGTTCAAGCACAATGAGATCGATGTCACTCGGCTCCAGGGGCAGGAAAGGCGCATTCTTGTGCAGCGGATTTTCAGGGTCGCGGAGCGCGATAACGAGCGAATGCTGCGCAAGCTGCGAGAGCGAATCAATTTGTAAGTGCGATTGCTCTGCGTTTTTTTTTTTTTTCCCTGTCCGAGGCTTTGCGATTAATTTTTCCTATCACAGGGTCGGGATCCAATTGCCAAGAATTGAAGTGAGGTTTGAAAACTTGAGCCTGGAAGCCTCGGTGCACATAGGACGAAGAGCTCTTCCCACGCTCTACAATTTCACGATCGACGCAATTGAGGTAAGTCGTGAATCCTATGTATGCTCGAATTATCTTCACTGGTTCCAAATTTCCTTGTAGAGCATCTTACAAATTCTCAACCTTTCATTCTCCAAGAAGAAGCAGCTTCACATTTTGCGGGATGTTAGTGGCGTCATCAAGCCCAGCAGGTTCTTTTCTTTTTCTATATCTTCTCTCGGAGATCTAGAACGAGTGAACTTACGGTCCTTTCAGGATGACACTGCTTCTGGGTCCACCTAGTTCGGGAAAGACGAGTCTGTTGCTGGCGCTTGCCGGAAGGCTTGATCCATCCTTGAAGGTAATAACGATCCAGCGAGTTCGTGTGCTTCAAAGGCACTATGTTTGTTGTAGGTTCGTGGTAAGGTGACATACAATGGGCATGACATGACCGAATTTGTACCGCACAAGACATCAGCTTATATCAGCCAGCATGATTTACATACTGCCGAGATGACAGTTAGAGAGACGCTTGATTTCTCTGGGCGCTGTCAAGGAGTGGGTACCAGATACGGTGCGTATTGTTTCTTTTTCTGTGTCGTCTTTTCTTTTTAGTTTTCTATTTTCATAACCTTCTGCTTTAACAGAGATGCTGTCGGAGCTCTCGAGACGGGAACTTATGATGCGCGTAAAGCCCGACGCCGAATTGGACGCTTTTCTTAAGGTGAGTATTGGTCGGTTTGCCAAGAAGCAATAAAAAAATCCATGGAGCCTAAACTCAGCTTCGTATTTGACAGGCAACTGCAGTTGAAGGACAAGAGACGAATATTGTGACAGACTACGTTCTCAAGGTAAATGTTTTTTACAACCTACTTGCTTTGAAAATTTACCAAGTTCGAGTATGTTTTTAAGTGTAGATCCTTGCGTTGGACCTTTGTGCGGACGCTATGGTCGGGGACAATATGCGAAGGGGTATCTCAGGGGGCCAGAAAAAGAGACTCACAACTGGTACATTTTCACTGGGAAGATGACTCTGGCCTAACGAAACTTTTTATCTTCCTGCACAGGAGAAATGTTGGTTGGACCTGCTAGAGCTCTTTTCATGGATGAGATATCCACCGGGCTGGACAGTTCAACAACTTTCCAGATTGTTAAATGCTTAAGGCAGACTGTTCATCTCATGGATGCTACCATGCTTGTCTCCCTTCTTCAACCTGCACCGGAAACGTTTGAGCTCTTCGACGATGTTATTCTGCTGTCCGAAGGTAGGATAGTGTACCAGGGTCCTCGTGAAAGAGTTTTAGACTTCTTTGCTATGATGGGATTCAAGTGTCCACAACGAAAGGGCGTTGCGGATTTTCTCCAGGAGGTACCATTTAATATATATATGGCTTTCACTCCCGCTAATGTGGTGTTTTCTTTCCAGGTAACATCATTGAAAGATCAACAACAATACTGGGCAGACAGGACTCAACCATATCAATACGTTTCTGTAGATGAATTCGCGGAGGCATTTTCGAAGTTCAGCGTTGGCCATCAGCTTTCCCAAGACCTTGCAGTTCCATTCGACAAGTCTAGCAGTCATCCGGGTGCACTAGTCACCTATAATCACGCGCTGAGCAACTGGGAGTTGCTAAGAGCCTGCTTGTCACGAGAAGCATTGCTGATGAAGCGCAATAGTTTCGTGTACATTTTCAAGACGGTCCAGGCAAGTTGTTGTCATTCGGGCTTTTTTCTCAAGAGCTTACGTGGTCTTTTTTTTTTAATACAGTTTGCAATAACAGCATGTATAGCAATGACTGTGTTTTTGCGCACCAAAATGCATCATAGCACCGTCGGTGATGCAAATATTTACATGGGAGCTCTATTCTTTGGAGTGCTCGCTGTAATGTTCAACGGGTTGGCGGAGCTTGTGATGACAGTTGAACGACTTCCCGTGTTCTACAAGCAACGGGACTTAATGTTCTATCCTGCTTGGGCGTATTCCCTTCCTTACATAGTACTGAGGATACCATTGTCAATCATTGAACCCGCCATATGGGTGCTTCTAAGTTACTGGGTTATCGGTTTCGCTCCTGAAGCTACAAGGTACGCATATTTGTCAGCTATGAGCAACCAACGAGTGTGGACTTTGAAACCAGGGTATTGCAACACTTCATTGTGCTTGTCTTCGCTCACCTAATGTCAGGAGGACTCTTTCGATCTCTAGCCGCCCTTGGACGGACCCGAGTTGTGGCAAACACATTTGGCTCATTTGCCTTGCTGATTATTTTTGTGATGGGAGGCTTTGTCCTATCTAGAGGTAACAACGTCGCCATGCTCACAAGGAAACTAACTGTTTCCTATGAACAGAAAATATCCCTTCATGGTGGACGTGGGCTTATTGGACTTCACCTATGATGTACGCCCAAAATGCTATCTCTGTTAACGAGTTTGAAGCAGAAAGATGGCAAAAGGTACGTGTACTAGAATGTTAGCATCCCTACATCTCACAAATGCCATTTCACTTATGCAGCCCGTTCTTAACTCTACTGGTAGTATTGGAACAGAAATTTTGCATGCCCGTGGACTCTTTTCCGGTTCTAGCTGGCTATGGATCGGGATAGGGGCACTATTTGGATTCTCGATCTTGCTAAACGCCATCTTTGTTCTTGCCATGACTTATCTGAGAGGTACTTGCAATTGTATCTCTGTTATAACGTTTGCTGAACCACGTCAAATTCAGCTCCCGGAAAACCTCAAGCAGCTGTTTTGGAAGAAGAAACGACGAATGCGACCATTTCTCGTCGGTACTCTGGAAAAAGCTCTAACCGCTACTCTCATAGTCGTGGTAATTCGTTGTCATTTATTTGCCACCCGTTTCGTCTCTGATTAAGCTCTGGCTTCAGGCATTGAGATGTCGATTCGGGATGCTCAGGATATTGAGTCGGGTGGAATCTCAAAGCGGGGAATGGTGCTACCGTTTCAGCCTCTTGCTCTATCCTTCCATCATGTGAACTATTACGTCGATTTGCCATCGGTGAGTTTATTTTGTTGTATACGTGAATTTCTTAACGCGTAATGAACAACAGGCAATGAAGCAGCCAGACGCAGACACGCAAAGGTTACAGCTACTGCGTGATGTTAGTGGTTCATTCAGGCCGGGAGTTCTTACGGCACTGGTGGGAGTCAGCGGTGCTGGCAAAACTACATTGATGGATGTCCTGGCTGGAAGGAAAACTGGTGGATACATTGAAGGTGATATCAGAATATCTGGATACACGAAGAAGCAAGAAACGTTTGCAAGAGTAGCTGGATACTGCGAACAGACAGACATTCATTCTCCCAACGTGACCGTGTACGAGTCACTGGTTTTCTCTGCTTGGCTTCGTCTGCCTCGAGTGGTTGACAGAAAAACCAGAGAGGTAATTTATATCTTGGTTTTTGTTTGTAGACTAAAAAATTTTCTTCTCTGACAGATGTTCTTAGAAGAGGTCATGGAACTAGTGGAACTTACTCCTCTGAAAGATGCACTGGTGGGCTTTCCTGGCGTGGATGGTCTTTCCACCGAGCAAAGAAAAAGGCTGACAATAGCAGTGGAGCTGGTTGCGAACCCTTCAATTATTTTTATGGACGAGCCAACCACAGGGCTGGATGCACGGGCAGCGGCAATAGTCATGCGCACTGTGAGAAATACTGTCAACACTGGGAGAACAGTCGTCTGCACAATCCATCAACCAAGCATTGACATATTCGAAGCTTTTGACGAGGTAAGTTGTTTCTTTTCATGAAAAACACAGGAATTCTAAATGACCAACCGGATGTTTCGTAATGCAGCTTTTGTTGATGAAATATGGTGGAAGAATAATCTACGCAGGTCCCCTCGGTCAGAATTCTCAAAACTTGACAGACTATTTCCAAGTAAGCATTTTCATCCACATTCAGTGTTACTCAACCCTTTACATTACATTGCAGGCACTTGAGGGTGTCCCAAGGATAAAAGAAGGTTATAATCCAGCAACATGGATGCTTGAAGTAACGTCCGCGACAGTGGAGAGCCAGATAGGCGTGGATTTTGCCGAACACTACAGGAATTCTTCTCTTTATCAGTACGTACTTTCTCTGATGATATGACTTCTCACGTTGTGAGCTTTTTTCCACATCCAGGAGGAACGAGGCGATGATAAAGGAGCTCTCAGCCCCGGCTCCAGGCAGCAGTGACCTCGAATTCTCGAGCACTTTCGCCAGATCGTTCACGGAGCAGTGTGTGGCGTGCCTGTGGAAGCAGCAGTGGTCGTACTGGCGCAATCCAACGTACTGCGCCGTGAGATTGTTCTACACATTGGCATGCGCGCTGCTCTTTGGTAGCATGTTCTGGCGACTGGGATCCAACAGGTCTGTCTCGTCCTTCCTTTTCTTTTACTTTTTCTCTAGAAAGCTTTTGCCGATATGGAAGATCTCTATACTGCGCAGGAATAACCAGCAGGACATTCTCAATCTCTTGGGATTCTTCTACGCTGGTGTCCTTGGGATTGGTCTCAACAACGCATCCACGGTACAATCGGTTGTAGAGATTGAGCGCGTTGTGTACTATCGCGAGAAAGCCGCTGGCCTCTACTCGGCATTCTCATACGTGATTGCTCAGGTTAAGCAATATTTACCATCTTGCATGGTTTTAATCCTTGGAACTTTTATCTCTCCCAGGTGATTATTGAGCTTCCTCACGTATTCCTCCAAGCCGTGCTACACGTCGCCATTACTTACCCCGCGGTGAATCTCGAGTGGACGGCCGCCAAGTTTATGTGGAACCTCTTCTTCGTCTACTTCTCCTTCCTCATCTTCACCTTCTATGGAATGATGGCCGTTGCTATCACGCCCAACGAGCAGATCGCCGCCGTCATCTCCAGCGCCTTTTACCTCGTCTGGAACCTCTTCTCAGGCATGGTCATTCCGTACAAGGTAAGGATCAAAGCTTCCATCCATTTGTATGTATGTCTTTGACGATTCTCTTGCTTGCAGAAAATCCCAGTGTGGTGGAGATGGTACTACTGGGCGAATCCCATTGCCTGGTCTCTGTACGGTCTCCTCACATCGCAGCTGGGCGACGTAGAGACGCTCATTGCGGTGCCTGGTGTTGGCATGCAGTCCGTGAAGAGCTTCCTGGAGGACTACTTTGGCTTCCACCACGATTTTCTCGGCGTTGTGGCGGCGGCCCACGTTGGAATTGTTATCCTGTGCATCTCGGTGTTTGCGCTCGGGATCAAGCACTTGAATTTCCAAAACAGATGACACTTTCCCTGGTGTATAGATCGAAAGAAAAGAAATCGATACTAACCTTTTGCGCTTAGTTTCCTCGTCCACGAATTGTTGAAGCAAATGGCGTTGAGTCCGTGTGATGTTCCTGCGAAGTTTTCGTCACAGCGATGAATTGTTGATCGGTAGAAAGTTGGAGTTTACTCACCGAGAATTGCCTGTTCAACCATTTGAGTTTCAGTGATACTGAAGCGAGACAACAATTGTACCGTTGTCAAGTCGATCGCCAAGTTCATGTGGACGTCCTCTCTTTCTTTCCAAAAGACCGGATCATCCAGGACCTACATAGCAAAATTAGTTGCTTGGATATGCTTTCAAACGGTCAAACCTTCAAAATAAGTATAAGATCAATAAGTCTCCCAAGCGGATCTACACCACCTCCTTTGCGTATAATTATTCTCATTCCGGTGTCCAAGCCTGTCAAATGAATATACTATTTGGTTATCGTGAAGGAAAAAAACTAAAAGAGTAGTTACATTATTGTCATGCACAAAGCATACCAGGTGGAATTCTCATGTCATGTGTTTTCGTCTCTCTGACAACACCTCCACCAGAACAAACATTACAGAAGTTCTGAAAAAAAGAGAGTAATAAATCAGTAACAACATAACAACTTTCCATGCTACCTGAGAACCTGATCCCCCACAAGCTGAGCACGGCACACGAATTATAAAAAGGCCTTGCTTTCGGGCATTCTATCACACAGAGCAGCGTCACGATTAGATTTTAGAAATCTCCATTTCAACCTTTCCCAGGCCTCGACACTCGGAACAGGGCTGTTGCCTAGCACCAGCTCGGATTCCACTGCCATCTGCAAGCTTAAAAGCTGTTAGATTAAAACCACAGACCAAGATATTTGGAATCATCCATACTGCACATTCTACAGTGTACTAAAGCCAAAAAAATCACAGGATTTTGACATCCATGTGCAGCTTCTCGAAAGCTTAATGACAGAGTTATCTTCAAAAAGGAAAACACGTATGAGTGTGAGTCCGAAACATGAAAATACTTACTTTCACCGCTCGACTACTTTGCATCCACATTGCTCTCATAAGCTGTGCTTGTTTTGTAGGTCAGGTATTTCACAATGCTCGGAGATTTTCATTTGTATACCTCGTGAATTGCCGAACTAAAATCGGCACAGTTACTAGCGCACTCATTGAAAGCACCCATTCCCATCTGGAGGAAAGGCTTTCAAACCATCTCCAAAACGCGGCTAGGTAGAGTATACCTTGTCATACATTTCTCGCTTCTTCTTGTCCTTGAGAATCTGACCAAAACGCTCAAGCAACGTTGCAAAACCGAAGAAACAAAAAGACCACTCACTTACTTCATAAGCGTGCTGTAACTCCTAAAACTTTTTATCAGCCTCCGAGTCTCCTTTATTCAAATCTGGATGGAACTGCTTGGCTAGCTGCAATTTTTGAAAAAACAAAGATCGAAGAACTCCTAAAGAAAAAAAATAAAAACAAAAAATAATATGACACTTACCGTGTAGTAAGGCCCTCTTGATTTAATCGGTGCTAGCACTCGAATCCAATCCAAGCACTTCGTATAAGTCCCGTGTGGCCATATCCCGAGATCCAAAATAAACGATGCGCGATGGATCAAATGCAAGATATTACCAGTAGAGCGGAAATTTCTCGCAAGAACAGCTACTGATCCCGCTAAAGCTCGCGGCAGTAAGCATGTAGCAAAAGAAATAAACACGCCAAGATTTCGAGCGCTTGATCCAAAACCACGATGAGCTCCGCCGCGCAGTGTAAGCCTGTGCGCATTCTAGAAAAATGGATGGAAATCAAGATCTTGGGATTTGCCTACCCCGGAGCAGCGCGCAAGAATGATCCGCCAGCTCCGCGATAGAGCTCTTGCCGCCATTTTGCCCAAAATGAAAACTAGCCCTAAACCCTTAGACGTAAGGGATGACGTGTCAAAAGTGAGAGCCACGTTGGCAATCCCATGGCTTTTGGTGTTCTCCGCGCCAAAGAGAGTCCCATTTGCGAGCTCGAGATGGGCACCTAGCGAGCCTAGAGAGAGCATCGATCGATCATCAAGTCCATTCTACTGCATTTGATCGATCAAAATGCCGGCGGGATTTTCCCTGGGCAGCAATCTGCGGCTGCCCAAGGTGTTTGGGGGCAATGGAATCAGTAGCGCGACATCTCCCCCAGCTCCAATCCGCAAGGGCGTGCTCACGGGAAAATGCGAGTGGGACGTCTATGGCACGCAGCGGCAGCGCAAAGCCAGCGATCTCAAGGAGGTGGAGAGGATCAAGCAACTCATCCACAAGCTCCAGCATCCAGCTATGGCGGCAATGGGAGAGAATTCCAGCCCCCCCGCGGGCGGCAGGAAGGCTTTTGTAGGGTTCTCGTCCGCGAGATCATCCCCGGCCAAGCGTCGCCCCGCGCCCAGCGATGTGCCGCTGGATGAGAGCTCCGAGGGGCTGGAGGAGAAGATGCGCGCCGAGTTTGTGATGATCAAGGATCGATTGAGAAAGATGGAGAAGGATCTCCATCAGTTGGGAACCACGACCAGATAGGAAAGAAATAGCCACGTCATCAGGAGTGCCACATCATAAACGCGTGGCATTGTCCACGTAGACTATCATTTCTCGCCTCGATAAAAATTAATTATAAAAAAAAGAGGGTAAAATTTATTGTTTATTTCAAGGATGAAATGCATTAATTTTAAAGTAAAATTCATCAAGGATGAAAAGAGAGTACATTTTAATTCTCGAAATCTGCTATGAAAATGCTTCCATTTTCACTCCATCCAGCCAGAAAATCTTTGTCAAGACACTAGAAGAAACAAAAGATTGTGAGAGTGGACGAAACTTTCAAGTGTATCACCTTGTCCATTCCAAGCCAGCGTGAATCTCCACGAAAGCCAAAGCTTCGCTTGATAGTTCCTTCAAAATCGTCTTCATTCCATTCGCCTCCAGCAACCTCGAGGCCAAAAAAAAAAAAAAAACAAAACATTTTACTACCAAAACCAGCAAACAAGCTGTTGCTACCTCGTAATCGAGACCATGAGCAAACACATAGCTTTGCTTCGTGGCAGAAAAAGCGATGCCTGTTACCTGAAAGCCTCGATAATCAATCTCACAGACTACATACAACTCTAGGAATTTATAAGAGCCAGACCTCGTATTTGAGAGCATTCACCCACCTCGCTCTTGGAATCCATCTAAAGAGAAAACAAAGCTTGCACGAAAACTCTGGCCTGGACAAAGAACGTACCTTCGAGTGTCAAATATTGTCACTGCTCGATCAGCTCCAGCGGCCCCTAGGAGATTGTCCCAAGAGCTACAAACAGAGTATAAGCTCTCGCCTGTGAAGGAACCCAGGAAACGCTGCACACATCCACCTTGCTCCCCGCATCTCAAGTCCCAAATACTTAACTGGAAAAAAAAACGTTAGAAGTGCTTCTTTTCTCTATATTTTTCCACTACCTGTGGACCCTCACTGATTGCTAAAACCGATGGGCAAGCTCCATGAAGAAATGTTAGCGCTGTTGGACACTGAAGCCTTCACAAAAGAAGGAAGAAAAGAAAAAAAAAACGGAAGAAAATTACACAGACTCAAGCAAGTGAGGAGGGGCTTGGAAAACTTCACTACTTACGTATGGAAGGTGCGTACGTGTACGTCTCTGTCATATATGTCGATGCTCCTGGCAAATCCTCGTGCCACAGTTATCTGCATTGTTCTTCACATCAAATCTTGGTTCTTTTTTTATCAATTCTTACCAGCGATGGTTGATGAGGAGAGAAGACGCATCCAGCCCATCCGCCTTCGCCGGCTCCAGGATCAGGAGGAGATACAGCGTAGGATGTTCCTAAAATTCTCTCAAAGTTTGAAACGAAGAAATTAATGCGTGAAGGACACACAAAACTCTGGGAATCTTGCAACCTTTAGAAAGCTTTGAGACCATGAGATGGCCATACGAATCAACAGATGCTAGCAGTGCCTCTTGCGATGGATTGGCTGCAAAGAACTACCATATCTCAGCAAAAGGAAAATAAAATCTACGAGCTCACACAGTGCAATGCATTGAACTTCAGCTCTATGTGGACAATGCTCTAGCTTCTCGGCTTCCAAAATCTGCAAAGCTAGCTCTTAAGAACCAAAATCTGGCAAAGCTAAGAAATGAAAGAGGAAAAAGAAAAGCTCACCCGAGAGTCGGAAGGAACGAGCAAGCCCTCTTTTCCTTCCAAGACACTAGAACACGGCAAGTCGGCCTAGAAACCAAAAACATGAATGGCAACGAAAGCACAGGAAACATCACACCTTGAGGCGATAGATTCGTGACGCCGAAGCGATGTAGACATTACATGCTTCACCACCATCGATTGGAGCCTGGAAAGAAAGAAATTGAAAGAAGGAAAAGAAAAGTGAGAAAATCACAAGACCTGGACGGCGACGCGTCGGGAATGTGGAGTTGCGGGCGACGGTAGACCGACAACATGCCTGGGAATTGTTGCACGCACAAGCCTCCTGGCTCTCACCATACATAAAACCACTTTCTAGGGTTCTATGGTCTCATCTTTATTCCTTTTCCACTTTAATTAAAACTAGCATAAAAATTTGTTATACTTAAGCCCTTGTAAGCTTAAATAGCCCGCCTTTAAAATGCAGTCTTAGGCCGCTAACTGTATTTATCTTCTAGCTTAATATATTTGGTTGATATTCTTGTATATTCTATTTATTTGCAAGATTTATTTTAATTAGGAAGTTGGATTGTTAAATGTTTATCCATACAAACGATGCTAAATTATATAGGATCTCCTCCTCATACAAATTTGGAGTGCAGCTCACATATTCCTTATTTTTGTCTGCTATGATTTTCCAATGAGTCATAAATCACTTTATTTGGTGGAGAATGGAGTGAATGCAAAGGCCTTTCTTTATTATATTCCTTTTGTCTTCGCCACTTGCTTCTAGCAGTCTAAGTTTGAGATTCTTGTATCAATTTGAAAAGTTTCTTGTATGAGATTTAGATTTAGATTTGGTGGAGAGCTTGAGGAGTGGTTTCTTGATGGAATAATATTTCATGAGATTTGGATCTTTTTCTTTCAGCACATTGTGGATGGCATAGTTTCAGAAGCTTTCACACACTAGTGACACTTGATTCCATTTAATAGACTTGGTTCTCATCTTTCTTTCACAATTTATGGCATCTTAAATTGTCAAGTCTTTCATAAGTTCTAGTAAGTTTTTTTTTATTTTCTTCTTTCTTCTTCACAATCCTTTTTCCATCTTATTTCTCTTCCATTTTTTACAGTTTTTGCAAAACAAATAAAAATTTATGTCCATGTTTAGAGCTTCTCCTGGCTGTTCTTGCATATTTAATCTTACTCTATTTTGTGATTCAAGCCGCTTGTAATATAGAATGCACACATTCCCCCATTATGATTAGTGCTTCAATTTGCCCCAAATATAACATAAGGTGGTGTGCCTTCTTGCCTATATCTACCTATGACAAAAAGCTTTAGAAAGTGACAAAATGATCTCTTAAATTTATCTTCTCCACTTTCTTCTAGGAGAGAGAGAGCAACATGTATAAGTCGTGAAGAGTTTCAAGTTAGAAATAGAGTGTATCTTTTGTTCAAATTAACTTTTTAGATTTTTTTATGTTTTGTACACATTTCAAGTATCAATTGTAACTTAGAAATGAGTAGGAAATCTCATTAGAAGTGGTGTTTACAATTTGAGCAAATGCTTGAGAAAGATATTTGTAACATGTGGCTTTTAATGTTATAGATTCATATTGTGAGACAATACTTTCCAATAATTGCATCATCTTCATCAAGGATCAATTATACAATTTAATGTTTGCCTTTAGAACCTTTTGTTTCATATGGAACCAACTATATTAGAGCAAATCAAATTAAAAATGTTGTGGCCAACATTTTATCAAATTTTTTATAGGATTTGTGCATGCATTTGCCCCAACCATCTTTGATGACTTTCTTTGACTAAACTAATTTGTGAATGATTGCATAAGAATTTTGTAGTTGGTTATATCCTCTAGAATAAGAAACTCCACCTATAACTCTGCTAATTTGCTTGTAAGTTACTATAGAAACTCTTGTTACTTTTTAGCATTTTCAGTGATGAAATTAAAAGCATATTAATCCTTAAATAAAGCTATAACTTTGAAAGTGCAAATCCATATTATAATCTTTAGCATATCTAAATACAACCTTGAAGACATTTGGGAAAAAACTTCAATCTACATGAATAACCGTGTTTAAACCATTGTATAACTACAATGTTATCCTTTAAGGATATGTGAAAAGCTTACATAGATGTTAGGAATCATCATAAAAATGATAGGCAGCAATCGCTATCAAGTGATTGAACTAATAATACACATAATTTCCCATGGAAAAAATTTAGTGAGATAAAGAAATGAACACTACTGTCAACTAAATTTGACTATTCAACTACAACCATATAACATAAAACAATTACATTAATTGCTACTCTAGAATTAAAGGAGGATAAAGGAGGAGTATATTGCTCTACCATAAAGATGAAGAAAAAAAAATAAAAATAAAAGAGAAGGGGGACCAAAATCATAAATCTAATTAAGGACAATCAAAATTACCCCTCATCTTAAGAATGTATGGAATATAAAAAGTTACAAATTTGATTAAAAGGAGTGAGTGGTCTGGATTAAAACTAATCTGATGGCTATCAAAATCCCACTACTTTATATAACATTTTAGCATACACTTAAACCTCACAAAATGAAATAAAAATAATTGTGAAGGCTTAAAATATCCACAATAAAAAATGTAAATAGCAGCATAAAAGCTTCAAGGGTTTTGACTTTCAGTGTAATGTTACACACTTAAAAGTGGCAAATATTAAGAGCTTGGAATATATATACAACTTGTGCTGTTGTAATATTTAAGCAACTCTCCCAAAAAAGAGCTTCAGCAGCTCATTGCCTGCGAAAACCAAAACATAAAAACATGAGTGGAAGATCACGTTAACAGTGCTCAAATTATAATGATCTATAGTGGAATTTTCTAATGATTGAAAAATTAAACAAGACAAGCTTTCACACAACCAGCATCTAGAACAAGTAGTTAGGCAGATAAACCGACGACCGCCTAGCCTGGAACATGAACTCCGGAAGATTGGCGGGGGCTGAAATTTGCACGCTGGTCCAGTTCTTGGAGCCTTTGCTAAGCTGCTCTATGACCCATGCTTTGTCATGCGGCTTGTACTCCACAAACCAGCAAACCGGCTGCTCCTCCAACTTCTCGGCCTCCCTCTTTATCACAGCCTTGACGTCCACCGCTTGCTTTTTGCGATCATCCACCCGTAGATATGCATAATGCATGCCGCACTGATGAAGCGTACCATACTTTTCAGTCTTCTGTACGTGCTTCCGGATAGACTCTTCATCTCCGTCGCCCTGCACTTCCATTCCCTCCGCGATGGAGTTGACGTAGAGGAAGTCAAGACGAGTTCTCCGATCTCCGTTCTTGTCCTTCTTCTTAGCTTCCACTAGAACGGTGTACTTGCCTTGTTGAAAACCCTTGACCAGAACAAACTTGGTGCTGAGAAGTACCTCCGACTGCCATATGTATTCTGAAGGTTGCCCATTAGCGTTGAGGACTTCTGGCTTCACCAAGCGCTCGTGATTGATGTAGCTGAAGGCGATCTGAAGCGCTTGAGTAAATGAATCGATACGAGGCAGCACGTCGGGGGAAGAAAGGTGGCAGTCCTCCAACATCGCACCCAGCAGCAAGCTGGAGGTGAGGCTGAAAGAACGAGGGCCTTCTCTCACAAGTACTCCGTCGTTGATAGCCGGCAAAAGCGCGTCCATAGTGTTGACACTGACGAGAGCCGGCTGCCCGGTCAGGATACACTCGAGTATGACATCCCTGACTTGTTGGGGATAATCCGGAATGCTGGATGCCATCCTTGAGTAGACCCTTGAATAGAAAACGTACGATGAAACGTAGCCAAGTCGAAGCCGACGCTTCCATTCCGTAAATGTATGGATCTGCTTCCTTGATATGTACTCGCAGCAGCAGCCGGTCATTCCCTTGTAACCGCTCGTCAAGGAGTGAATGCTGGCGGCCAACTTTACGATGACCTTGTCCGCATTTGCTGCGCTCCATTCCTGTTCCTCGTTCTCCCTGAACTGAACACCAAACTCGCGCTGATAGTCAGTGAGCATCATGGCGATGTCCCCAACCAGAAGAAAGTCGGATGCCCTCTGCTCCTGAACGCTGAGTGGCGAGATTGGACGGCCCCTCCACGGATCGTAACTGTCGTGACCTCGGGCTGGGCTCGATGTAACATGGGAACTCCCCTCGGCAGCAATCCGCCTGCCTCGGCTCGGCTGAAAAAGCAAGCTCGTCTTGTCTGTGCCGACCAGAACAAAGCTTCGCAGGCAGTATAGACCAGAACCCGTGGTCCTGAACACGCAGCTCTCTCTGCACGTCTTCAACGCGGACAGAAACGCAAGCAGCACGCCCGGCCAGGTGATCTCGTTCAGAAGCGCTGCCTCGTCGATGAACCACACGATCTCCTTGCCGGGAGAAGCCAGCATCTTGAGAAGTCCCATGACGCCGGGAGTTCCATCGTACTCGAGCCTGCCTTTGCTCCCCAGAGCCAGAGACATAGCCATCTCGCGGATGAAAGCAACGGTAGCGTCGTCTTCAACGGCATGCTTGTTGGCTGCTCCCACCATTTGAGGGTTCAACACAGTCACCACGGGCACCAAGTCCTGCGCACTCATGCGATCGGCAAGCCCGTACATGAGCGATGACTTCCCGGATTGCCACGGCCCCGTGATGAGCAGCCACCTTGAGTTCCCGAGATAGCCCTCGAGCCTGTCTATGTCACTCCATTCCACAAAGAAATTCGTGGCTGGATGGATTGCGTTGCCCGCAGAAAACAGCCGTGGCCGCGGGACTATCTCACTGCCCAAAACCGGCCTCCGCTTCCCAGGAGCAAGGTCGACATGCTCGCCCTGCCGTTTCGCCATAGATTATATTTAAAGAAATTATAAATTTAATGCCACTGCTGTGGAGAAATTAGAAGCTTGAAGTACTGCTATCGCTGTGTTGGCAGCCGCGTTGAACTGGAAAGGAGTTCTATCGAAGATATGACACCATGAATAGTGGTTATGGATTTTCAGTGATCATTCATATAAGAGTGTTTTGCTGGATGAGGAAGGAAGAGTTTCTCACCTTTTCTTATTGTTACATCTTGTGTTGAATCTCTTTTCCTGGATCTAATCTTTGTGAAAATTTCTTAGAATGACTATGCCAAATTGAAAGGAACCCTAACCACATCCCAATATATCCTTCATGGTGTTAACTTAATCAAGTGATGTTTGATAAAAAAAATATTATAAATTTTTAAGTTTTCTTATATGGTAGTATTATTATAATAAATGTTCTAGAGAACATAAACGTGTTATTCAATTAAATATACTACATATTACTATTTTAACAGAGCTCAAGCTAGCCCATGAATGTGCTTGCTAGGCTTTGTGCTTGACTTTCCCATTCTATATAAGCCATCTCCTATTAAAATTCTAATACAAAAGAATCATTAATTATCTCTTTAAAGATCTCAACTATGATCCATTCCTTGGGCCTTTATAAGAGCTTCAATACCATGATGTGCATTATAAGCATCACATAGTACCTCAAGCAGCTAGAGAATAAATCCTTAAAGTTCTTCATCTCGAGGGAGTATTATAAGCTTCAAATGCTCTATAATAAAGCAATCTTAGTATGGAGGGATTACTCAATGATCCAATTCCTAATCCACTACTTTCAAGTAGCTAGAAAAGATTCTTGGAATGGTTAATTACTAGAGTGATGGGGAAGGATCTATCTTAGGTGAATTTTTTATAAAGCCAACTCAATCTATACATCCATAAGCTCTTGGATGAGTACATAGTGATGAACTTATAAAACATGTTCAGCTCAATGTGATTGCTTATGGAGAGAGTTGAGAAGGAGGAGCAATCACGAGGCCAAGTGCTTTCTGCTTTTGCTCTATGTATATACAGATTGTATTCGTGATAAGTAAATGAGAGAGAAAAGTTTAACAAATATCCTAGAATATATTTGGATATTTAAGTATATGCTTTACACCTCTTAATTTCAAATTTATACTCTGTTTGGTCATTACAATCCATCAGCTTTCTCTAACATTTGGAAGCTAAGATTGCTTAGTTTCTTATTTATAAGCTTATAAAACATTTTGCATAATGTAATTCTATCAAGTGGAGGCTACCACAATAATTGGACATCAAGAATGATCTCTAGTGAGTGTCAAGATGTTATGAAATTTATAAAGATCAAGACTTTTGCCAACATCGAATGCTACCAAGTCTTCTTTGCTATAGAAGGTTTAGACTATAATAGATTTCTTGGTTATCAAATCTTTGAGAGGGTGAGAAGTGGTGTTTCATGCAACTCTTTGGATGAATCTGGCTAGAGAAATTTCATACTCACACATATTAAGATATTAGGGTGATGAAGGAGAATGTGTGGGGACACTTTACAATGCTGTTGGACATTGATATCTTCATCAAACTCTAGCAAAACCAATAGAAGTTCATTATGACCTTGATCCGAGGATGTACCACCTCCTTCACGGTGTTTCACTTGGATAAGAGAACTCAAGATGAGGTTTAGGTCCTCTTGGACTAACTCCAGACCACTGCCAATCTTGAGTACTTTGGTTATGAGTTTTAGACTATCAATGTCTAGCTAGGTTGAAGCATGGTTGTCATTATTTCTAGCAACTTTCCTTTACAAAAACCAGTTAGAAGTAGGGATCAATATATTATAGTGCCTTGCTTCAATATTGGACACTTTTGACTAGAAGAATATGATCAATAGCTAGCAACAAATCACTTTCTCTTCATAGTTGGAGCTTATACCCACAATATGAGTTGTAGAAGCATTGACTTTGCACTTTTCTCAACTGGACAATTGCTATATCTTGCATCTACTTTGATTGTTGCAAAGTTTTCTAATGAAGTCGAGTATAAACATAGTTGTACTTGTGGTGAACACCAACTTTATTGAGCTCAATCTAGCCACATCTAAATCCTCACCACAACTCATCTTCATTAAGGATGAAGCCATCTCCACCACCTTTGCTTTGAATAAATTGACATTTTTATATGGAATTATAGGGATTTGTGAGGAGTCCTTCAAATGCTATTATGCATTATATCCCCCTCCATGATGATGCTCATTTAATGCAACAAGCTCCACAACATTTGAGTTCAATGCTAGTGTTAGTTGTCCAAGTTAAAATTATAACTTATGGATGTCAAGTTTATTTTCCTCTTCGATACTTAGTAAGCTGAATCATCTCAATTGTATCAGTGAGGAAGGCAAATGGTAATATCCGAGTTTGCATGGATTTTAAAGACCTTAACAAAGATATATTACATAAATACTTTTCAACACTAATTATCAATAATATTTGCAATGTTGTAGCTGATTATAGGATTTAATCCTTTATGGATGGCTTTAATGGTTATAAGCAAGAGTTCTTTAAGCCTGATCAAATGAAGACATCCTTTAATACACCTTGAAGAAATCTAGACATACAACTTTTGATCTCATGAATGCATTAGTGACATTCTAATAAAGTTATAAAAGTTTTCCATATAGATCCATATAGGATTGGAGCATCAAGTTGTAAAAGGCAAAGTTCATGATTTATTAGCAATACATGTTGAAGACTTACAAACCATCTTCCAGCAATGCCATTTCTATATCATCCAACCCAATCCCATAAAAGTTCTTCATTCCTTAAGGGAAGTTACTTGGTCAACACTATGTTCATAAGGTAGAAAGTGACAGCAATCTTACATATTTGCCATAGTTGTAGTAGCTATTTTTTAGGTATATTGATGGTGAAGCTAGTTCATATGTAAGATACGCAAAGAAGGCATGTGATCCAGAGTAAGAAAATTAAGTCTTGAAGAAGATAATCGTGGAAATTCATCCAAGAGCTTGATTGACACACTTACTTTCAAGTCTTTGGGCCTTTCACACATCCTACAGAGTAATAAATGCCATTTCCTTTGGACTTCTCTACTATGTCAAAGTGGTTTTATTTGTTCAGCTTGGATTGCCAACTTTTGTAGTAGTTGCCTGATAAACTTAGGTTTGGTATTTTTAAGGGTGTGACTAGGGTGACTTGGTCTATCTTTTGAATATTACTACCTAACATCATCCCAAACTTGCTTCACGTTGACTGGGACTATACTCTATTGTTAGTGTTGTTGGCAACAACTTCTATCACCTTATGAATTTTGGTAAATGAATGCTCTTAAATCCTTGCAATGGGACACATTTATCTTTAAGGATACACTTTCTTCTCTAGCATGTGAGTAGTGTTAGTACTCTTTTATAGAATATAGAGACAACACAATAAATAAAACTATTTACTGTGCAATACCTTTACTTCTTACATAAGCACCACAAAGCTACATCACAACATGATGCCTCCTTATTTGTACTTTTTCATGCTTAAAGACACATGCTTAACTATGAAATTTATTTACCACTTTCTTACTTTCCAGCCATGCCTAGACCTTCTAAGTCATTGCTGCTTAGCATGTTTAAGATTGGTGAAAGAATAACCTGATAAAGGATTAGAAAGGAATCTAGGAAAGTTAATTGGAGCAAACTATACACTTTCATTGGACATATTCTTAAACACCAAGTACAATTAGCCAAGTAGTCTAAATTGTCTTTTCATCTCACAAATACTCATTCATTTGCTCTTCTCATTTATTATCACTAGCATGCCAGAACAAGCTCTCGAAGTTTTAGAAACGCTGAAGAGTTGAGGCTCAAAGAAGCTTTCAAGGATTTTCCATGAGGAGAACTTCACTTGTTTCAGGTTCTCCAAGAGCTTCAAAGAAAGGGAGTGGGTTGACAGACGATGAGCTTCTATGAGCGAGCAAGCCTAAGCTTCCGAGGATTTTGGAAAATTGGACCAGATGGTGGGCTCAAAGTGACGAAATGGATCGACAGTCATTCTTAAACATAACAGATGTAAAGAGAAGAATGTTTCTAGTTGCCATGCAGACGGCCCGGATGCTGTATCTGCCCGGAATGTGAGGGCCGTTAACGGCCGTGAGATTCTTTCCGTGAGTTTGTCCCACCTGATGAGCGGCCCCGATTGGATATCTAGCCGGAATGTATGGGTGAACTACCCTTACTGTGGAGTATAAGATGGGGGTTTGAAAGGCAATGGTCTTGGAAGTATGCTCCCATAGGCTTCACTTTCTGGATTCTCCTTCCATAATTAGGGTTCCGATTGACAGGGCGTTGCCCGCCACGCCGCGACGCCACGGAATTGGAGCTAGATCGAGGAGTAGGGGTTTGGCAGGGACGCGCTGGGGTTAGGGTTTGTAGGACAGTGAGCTCGTCCCAGAGGCCGAGCACGGAGCCGGTAATCTAATTCGATAGAGGTTTAGGGTTGAGCAGCAGCAGCAGCAGCAGCAGCCGCGATCGAGCACGCTGCCGGCCAGCGCCAGGTTTGAATTGGATTGCATGAGCTGGGGGATGATCGGATTTCGAATTGGGTGCTGGCGGCTTTGGGAGCGGGCCATGGATCCAGGGGCGGAATTTCGGGATTCTAGCTTCTGGATGTGAGGATCCATTGCATTGGGATTGGTCGTTTGATTGGCCGGGAGGAGCATGGACTGGGCTGGGACTTAAGAGAAGCTACATTGGAATTGGCTAAGGAAGATGCAGGCCCAGGCACAGCTATCTGGGCAGTGCATCACTTTGCAGGATAAGACGTCGTTACCTTCGAATCCATGGGGTAACGATTTGGCTTTGCGTAGGAAGGTCATAGAAAAAATGTAAGCGTGTTTTTCACTGTATCTCTTGAACTAACGATTGTGTTTTCGTTTTCCAGAGCACAGATTTTTCAGAAATGTAAACACCAATTGCCTCCAGAGTGGCAGCAGAAAATCCCTGACTTGGTATCGAATGTGGAGCAGGCTTTGTACAATGATGCTACTTCTAAGGTTCTGTGTGATCTTTGCTTTTGTTTGTCTTTTTGCCTTTCGATCTCATGGTTACCTCTGATGAACAGGAAGATTATGCTGACGTGCGAACGTTGGAGCATCGTCTCCAAGTTGCAACTCATCGATTTGTCAACCAGCAGCCGCGAGTAACTTCTATAGAGGATCTCACGAGGTCTTCTGGGACCGCGGTCTCTGTGAACGGTGGAGGTGGCATGGTACCAACTCCAGGCATGGGTGGCAACCTTGTCCCTACTCCTGGTTACTCGAACACCATGGTCCCGGTTGGGGGTCATGGTAATGGTACCGCCAGGGCCAGCTCGACGATGATGCCAACTCCTGGACTTGGCAACAAGATGGGGATCTCTACGAACGGAAGTATGATGCCCACCGGGAATGCAAACATGAACTTCGTCGCCAATGGCGTTCAAACTTCGACAGGGATGTTTGCCAATGGGAACTTGATGCCTAGTGGGATGCCTGTCAACGGTATGAGGATGATTCACGATGGACAACTTGCCTCCAGTACAGGATTTTCAGCTGGGGGAATGCAGATGATGCCGACGCCGGGTCTCAGCATGCCACAGCAGTCGCCCAGTGTGTCGAACTTCCCTAAAGTCAGCGACATCTCGATGGCTTCCGTGCAACCGCAGCAGCTCGCGGCTTCCAATGGTCATATCCTTCGTGCTCACATGAACGGTGCTTCTCAAGTGAAGACAGCAAACGGACTAGCGAATGGTATGGTGATGAACCGTTCTCATCTAGCGAACGGAAACGTTGCAGTGCACGATTACCCGAATCAAGCTCAAGCTCAGTATATGCTACAACAGCAACAGCGTTTGAACCAACAACAACGGATGCAAAGTAAGCTAGCTCTTTCCTGTCCAGCGATGTATTTTTACTGACGAGTTCGTTATGTAGCGCTGAGCTCCGCCGTTTCCAATGGCAGCTATGCCATGAATGCTGCGGACTTGGCTGGACCTGGGGGTAACTTGTATACCCCATCAACAACAGGTGGCCTTGTGAACAATGGAGTTGCTCTAAACGCAATTAATCCTCAACTTGCGAAACCTTCGAGTCAACAGCAAGGGGTGGCGATGAGCTTACAGCAACAGCGAATGCAGCAGCAGCAACAGCATCACCAGAAACAATTGCAGCAACAAATGCAGCAGCTGCAGCAAAGGCAACAAGCCGCACAACAGCAGCAGCCGCAACAGCAAGATCAGGGAACAACGTTCCAGCAACTCTCTGACTTAACCAAGACCTCATTAGACGTCCAGAATGTTGTCCCGGGACCTGTTGTTCAGATGGAGCAGTCGGATCAAAAACCGTCCCCGCAGGTTCAGCAAACATGGCAGGCGCAAGAGAGGGAGGTGAAAAACATCGCCAACGAGAATCATGTCGTGTTCCCGGAGACACAGAAACAGTTACAAACTCCGAATAGTGAGACCTTACAACCGAAGCCGGAGCCGATGAACGAGAGCGTGCAAGTGACCGAGCACCAACAATCACCACAGCCTGCTCCTGCCGTTTTGAAGCAGGAACAAGGAAGTCCGTCGTCTATGGTATCAACTCCAGGAGGAGCGGCTGCCCAGCCTGAAAGCAACGGCTCTGGAACGGGACCCCAGCCAGTGATCAGCAGTACTCGTGCTCAGCAGTACCTCAAGCAGCAGCGCTGGCTACTTTTTCTCCGTCATGCAACGAAATGCTCCGCCGCGGGTGGACAGTGCATATGCAGTCCTCACTGCCAAACTGCTCGCCAGCTGCTAAGTCACATGTCCAAATGCCGGGATCGTGAGTGCCAATATCCGCGGTGCAGTGCCTCGATGAAGTTGCTCACACACCATCAGTCGTGTCGTGACGCTAGATGCCCGGTTTGTGGACCTGTCCGGCAGGCCATCTTAAAGCAAACTCATCCTCCGCCAGCAGACCAGATGGGATCTCCTCCGGGTTCTAAAGATGGTGGCCAGCCACCTTTGAAACGGCCCAAGGTGGCGTCGCCAGACTCTACTACTATGGAGAATGGTGATGGACCCGTCAAGGTCGAGTCGAAAGAGGTTATCAAAGCTGTGAAGGCTGAAGCACCTCATGGTGGTGGCGTCCGGAACGTGAAGCCGGAGCCTGTAGCAAGTGACGTGAAGCATCCCGGGAACGCGATTGTTAAGCACGAGTCTGGTCCAAGGATTGGCAAAGGAGGAAAGCCGAAAATAGTTGGCGTCTCGCTAACAGAGATCTTCACCATTGAGCAAATCAAGCAACATATTGTGAGCTTAAGACAGTGGGTTGGCCAGGTACGTGAGGAATCACTGGAGTTTCTTTCTCGTGCTCATTCATTTTCTTAGCAGAGCAAGTCCAAAGCAGAGAAGAACCAGGCCATGGAACTTCAGGCAAACGAGCACGCTTGTAGATTGTGTGCAGTTGAGAAGCTTTTCTTCGATCCACCACCTATTTATTGCACGAGCTGCGGGATACGAGTGAAGCGAAACGCACTCTACTATACAACAGCGGTTCGTGAAACTCGACACTACTTTTGCATTCCTTGTTACAACGATGTTCGCACGGAGAATGTCGAATTGGAAGGCCTTACGTACGCTAAGTCGTGCTTGGAGAAAAGGAAGCACGACGAAGAGCAAGAAGAGGCGGTAAGCTATGTCGTTTGCAAACGGGATTTCTGTACTCAAGTTTGATTTTCGCAGTGGGTGTGCTGCGACAAGTGTAACTTATGGCAACATCAAACCTGCGCGCTTTTCAATAGCAGGAGGAATGAGGGTGGAGAAGCGGAGTATACTTGTCCCGAGTGCTGCATGGCTGAAATGGAGTCGGGCGAAAGAGATCCACTGCCAGTCTCGGCTGTCCTCGGAGCCAAAGACCTTCCTCGGACGTGGCTAAGCGATCACCTCGAGTCCAGACTCACTCTGAAGCTCAGGCAGGAGCGATCTGAGCGCGCTAGAAAGGAAGGGAAAAGCCATGACGAGGTATGCAGCTCACTGTTTTTACACGAATGTACTCAGATAACTGCGTGAAGGTTCTCGGCGCGGAGGGGCTGGTCGTGAGGGTTGTTTCCTCCGTGGATAAAAGGCTGGAAGTCAAACCCCGGTTTCTAGAAATCTTTCAAGAGGAGGATTACTCTACTGAATTCCCGTATAAATCAAAGGTGAAAGTTATTTTTATATTTGGTAGTGCTTTTTTCTCTGACTGGTTGGAATTTCCAGGCAGTGCTACTTTTTCAAAAGATTGAAGGAGTGGAGGTTTGTCTTTTTGGAATGTACGTTCAAGAGTTTGGAGTGGAGTCTGCGCAACCAAATCAGCGGCGGGTGTATCTTTCTTATTTGGATTCCGTTAAATACTTCAGACCAGCAGAGGTGAAAACACCAAACGGAGAGGCACTAAGAACTTTCGTTTATCATGAATTGCTGGTAAATTTTCTCTCTTCTTACCTTACTTTTTGTAACTTGATATTCCTTGCAGATTGCTTACTTGGAGTATTGTAAAAGGAGAGGTTTTACCAGTTGCTACATTTGGGCGTGTCCGCCTCTGAAGGGCGAGGATTACATTCTTTATTGTCACCCTGAAATTCAGAAGACTCCAAAGTCGGACAAGTTGCGAGAATGGTATGTGGTTTCCATACTATTCTTTCAGTTCATTGACCTTTCCCCCTATCTTTTTGTTATATTCTCAGGTACTTAACGATGCTTAGGAAAGCGTCCAAGGAAAATATTGTTGTCGAGATTACCAATTTCTATGACTTTTTTTTCATATCTCCTGGCGAGTGCAAGGCCAAAGTGACCGCTGCAAGGCTTCCATATTTCGATGGTGATTATTGGCCGGGTGCCGCAGAAGATATGATACTTCAACTACAACAGCAGGATGACGATGATGGATCAAAGCAGCAGAAAAAGGGAAAGATTAAAAAACCGCCAACGAAACGCGCCACAAAGACTGCTGCTCAGGCGGAAATGGCTATCAACGCTTCAAAAGATGCGCAACTCATGCAGAAGGTGGGTTTTTTTTTTCCAATTCCATGAATTTACATCGGGCATTTTCCTTGCAGCTTGGGGAGTCGATAATGCAAATGAAGGAAGATTTTATTATGGTTCATCTACAGCACACTTGTACACACTGTAGAAACTTTATATTGACGGGCTGCCGCTGGGTTTGCCGGCCCTGTAAGAGCTTTCAGCTTTGTGATAGGTAAGAATCTTTCAATTACTTGCTCCGGTAGTTTGGCAACTCCGCTTGCTTTGTGCAGGTGCCATGAAGCAGAGCTAAAACTGGACGAAAGGGAAAGACATCCTGCCAATAGCAAGGAAATGCATTATCTAACTCCGGTGAGTATTCATCCGAGAGAATTGTTGGTTGTGATAATGACACTTGTTTGTGTGCTGTGTAGATCGAAGTTACCGATGTTCCACCAGACACCAAGGATAATGATGACTTAATGGAGAGTGAATTCTTTGACACCAGACACGCGTTCTTGACCCTCTGCCAGGGGAATCACTATCAGTACGACACACTGCGGCGGGCCAAGCACTCGTCTATGATGGTGCTTTACCACTTGCATAATCCTATGGCCCCGGCGTTCGTGGTGACGTGCTGCATTTGCACCCACGACATAGAACCAGGACAAGGCTGGAAGTGCGAGACCTGTACAGAGTACGACGTTTGCAATGGCTGCTATTACAAGGAGGAGACAAGGAAGCATCCTCACAAGCTCGTGCAACATCCATCAGCATCGGAGCGGAATGCTCAGAACAAGGAAGCGAGGCAACAGCGGGTGCAACAGGTTTGTGTGAAATTGAACGTTCTGTCACTGCTCACAACATTTTTATTTCCTTGTCCAGCTTAAGATGATGCAGGAGTTACTCGTTCACGCTTCGAAGTGCTGCACAACACAGTGCCAATATCCAAACTGCGGAGATCTCAAGAGGCTGTTCCGGCACGGAATGACATGCCAAAAGCGAGTTATCGGGAACTGCTTGCACTGCAAGAGGATGTGGAGCTTCATGCAACTACATGCGAGATCTTGCAAGCAAGCGGACTGCCGCGTGCCTCGCTGCAAGTAAGTACCTCTATCCTTTTTCTTCTTTTTGGTTTTCGCACAGAGGCTAACCATCTCTTGGCAGGGACCTGAGAGAACATTCAAGAAGAAACCAGCTCCAAATGGAGTCTCGACGACGAGCGGCGGTGAACGAGATGATGCGGCAACGCACTGCGGAGACTGCTGGCAGGAAGCAATAGAGGCAGCGAGGACTTCTTCCAACACTTTATTCTTTTTTTTCCTTTTTTTTCTGGCATCGGCGGACGGACAGAGTGACTTGACTTCATCGACGTTGTGTTCCAATTTTGACAGTCGTTGGGAAGCAAGCAGTACAAGGAACAACGCTTGCTTTCTTGTGTCTCTTCCCAGAGCAAAGGTAAACTTCTCTTCGATCTTTTTCGTCTAGTGTATCTAACTTTCTTCTTGTGCTTCTTTCCTTTTGCAAGGTTGAAACAAAGCGCAAGTACACGCATCAAACAAACATCCAAAGGAGAGACAAAGATGAGAGAATGAGAGAGTGACAATCAGGACAGCGACACACCAGTGTACATAGAAGTTTTCTTTTTTTCAGTGACTCATCAGAATTCATGTAAAGTTCCATGTAAGTGTGAGAGAGTGAGAGAATTCCTTTGTATTTACTTAAATTATATAGAGGCGAAGATTATTCCACCACCTTTCTTTTTTTGAAAAGTTCTACCTTTAAGCAAACATTGTGATTCTCTTTATTGAGTGACATTGATATGTATCTATCTTTTCTCTTTTCCAAAACTTATTGTCTACTGATTTATCAGAATTCATGTAAAGTTCCATGTCACTGTGCGAGAGAGTGAGAGAATTCCTTTTACTTACTTAAATTATAAATTATATATTGGCGAAGATTAAGCAAATTTCCCTAAAAGGATTGTGATATATATCTACCTTTCTCTTTTCCAAAACTTATTGTCTACTGACAATAACTTCCAAGAAGATTTCCAAGGGACAAACACATCTCAATCGCGCACAAAGAATATTTACACTGGATCATACCTCCCGCAAATATGTATGATCCCATCCTAGAGATTCGAATGATCGATCCTAGGAGACAAAAAAAATAATCGTATCCAGAGCCGCGATAGTGGAGTGGGGCATCATTCCAGAGCCACTCAGCTTTTCCCATTTATGAATGGCTGTGAGAGATCTCCTGTAGACATCCACAAAAAAAATTCCACGGTGAGAAACGAACAACAGCGACTGGAGGATTCGCGTGACCACGAAAAAAGATCACTTTGAATCTGTCCAACGTACCCGAGGAGGATGCGCGAGATGACGAATCTTTTCCAGCCTCCCGGAGCCCCCGGATCTTCTCGGTGGCCTCGTTCACCACCAGTCTCGAGAGCAGCAGCCCCGCCATGAACGCCGATGCCATGAGCATGAGGAAGACGTTGTCCCAGCCTTGCTCCGAGATGTAGCCCGTGAGAAGCGGACCCACGGCCGCTCCAGCCGATCCACACCCGTCGATGATGGCGGTCACAGTGGACAGCGCCCGAGCATCGCCACTCAAGCTGCTGTGCGTCCCCAGGTCCGCGGACACCGCCGTGGTGATGAGCGCGTACGGGCCATTCACCAGCATTCCCAGCGCCAGCATCAGCCCCGCGTTGAGCGGCATGGAGATTGCTCCAAACTCGTGGTAGAAGAAGAGCGCCGGGATCGCGCAGTACGTGAAAGTTGCCGCGGTTATGGCCCGCGCGTTGAGCTTGTCCGAAAGGTGGCCGGCGAGAACACCGCCGAAAACGCCGCCTATGTCGAACAGTATCGAGAGATTCGCGGCTGTCGTGTCGGAGAGGACGACTCCAGCAATTCCTGGAAGATCAAAGAGCAATTGTTTAGAAACACGGAAGCAAAAAAGTGAAAAGAGCATGGACTTACTTGTGTGTCGTATGTAGAACGGTAGCCAGTAGAGAAAAGTGTAAGCAACCAGCTTCGAGAAGAAGAGACAAAACGCGAATGGAGCAACTCCGGGTATCACCCACGCCTCCAAGAACCCGACGGGTTGATCGCGTCCGGGGCTGGAGTTTTTCCTCACCTGGGCCTCTGGATCCTGATCATCTCGATCCGAAACGAGGCTGGAACTCGACGATGATCCAGCCTCATCTTCCTCCTCCTCGTCGCTTGATCCTTGCACGGACGAACTCTCGCCACCGCCGCCATCGTATGGAGATGGCAAATCCACGTCTCGCGGATCCACCACCAGGAACAAGTAGACCATCACGCCACCGACCATGATAAGCAACCCCGGGAGTAGAAACGACCACCCCCAGCCGAATGGAAGAACCGCCGCGCCAACCAGTGATCCAACGATGTTTCCAACCGAGGTGTGAGCGTTCCACACGCCCATGATCAATCCCCGCTTGGATTTCCCACACCAGTTCCCAACGACGGCCACCACCGACGGCCATCCTGTTGCTTGAAAGAGCCCCGCGATCATCTGGACGAAGAGGAAGTAGTAGAGGCTGTGGATGTTCCACCAGTAGCCCAGGCCAAAGAGGCAAACGAAGGCGCCGCTGCCCACCATCCCCATCGTGAGGAAGATCCGCAAGTCGAGCCTGTCGCCGAGATGCCCCGCGAAGAACATCCCCAGCGCGTAGCACGCCAGGAACGCGACGTCGATCTGGCCCAGCCGGGATTTTCCGCCCTCTCCGTTGAATGGAGCCCAGCCGGCGGCTCTGGATTGGAGCCGCGCCGCATTCGAGACATCGCGGGGGACGAAGAGCCAGCTGAGAGGCCTGGCGATGGCGATTTCTCGGACAGCGCTCGCGTTGCCGGCAATCGCGATGGCGGCGATGGAATCGATGGCGTTTATATTGGGATTGCTGGAGCCTGTCTCTGGATCAAGAACGCTCTTGACGATGCTGGGCGGCTTGCGGGAGGCGTGGTAGCAGGCGTAGGCGATGAAGGTGATGACGAGAATGAGGCCCTTGCCCACCCGGAAATTCCTGCCCGCGATCGCTCTCGCCACACGGATCCCCGGTGGAGCGCTCCGGAAGCGATCCATGGATCCCTGGAGCAGAGCCGCGGCCGAAATATCACCCCAGACCCAGAGATTTCGCGAAATTTCTTGGATCAATCGATGAGCCGAGAGCTCGCTCGTCGATATCACCAAAAATCCAGCTCCACAGAGTCAAGAATCCGTGAAACCTGAAACTTACACAAGAAATCTCGCAAACCGGAGCTCCAATCCGTGAGATCGATGCTCCAGCGCCTGCATTACAAGCGCGCTATCGAGGGAAGAAAAGAGAGAAACATAGGAGAAAAACGCAAGAAAGCGTACATTGACCGTCCGATATGTGCCTCCGTTTAAGAAGGCCGGTATATCCGAATCCGTGGGAAGGGATATCCCAGAATTCCAAAAACTTGGCTAGCGGGGTACGAAAGCTCAAACGCGGCCACCTTTGTGGCCATAAATTCCTGCTATGGTGTTGCGACACATCTAGGTTTGAAATTTCGAGCGAATTGACTCTATATGACATGGAAGCGCGGGAAATGGTCCACGCGGGATTTGCCACGTCACAGTTGACGGTATGTGGAAAACAACCTGTTCATAGACGGCCAAATATGTCCGGAATTTCAGACCAGATATGGTTCCTGGAAGGTATAATATGTGATCAATCGATTGAAAAGATTAGGTCAGCTTAAAAGATGGAGATCTCCTCCAAAGTTATGGCTATGGGGCTCATTCTTGTAATAATGGTTGTTTCGGCAAAGGCACGAGGTGGTCCTATGGATTTATTAGCGATGGGACAACAGGTTTCTTCTCCACCGATGGGATCACCATCACCATCGTTTGTATCACCACCTCCACCTTTGTTATCACCGTCACCGTCACCATCACCATCACCACCACCGTCATCACTACCACTATCGCCCACACCACAACCAATGGAGTCACCATCGCCCACACCACAAACAGTAGAGCCACCTCAAATTCTATCGCTACCGTCGGCATCCCCGCCTTCGTCGCCACCGTCACCGTCACCTTCACCTTCACCATCATCGCCATCCAGCCACAAAGGATTGAGCGCTGGACAAAAGGCTGGGATTATCTTTGGAGTGATATTGGGAATTGCGTTAGTGGCTGTTGCTGGCTACATTTACTGGAAGAGAAGAGAGGATTGTAGATTCAGGAGACATTTCAACATTTCAACATCTAAACTTGTATTTTAGGGCCTAGTTGGCAGATTTATAAATTGACACGTTTGCGTTTCTATCTGACGTGTTGCATTGTTCGTTTGAGTTTTAGGGTTCTTGGGCATGGCGCGGCAGGGGTTTACGCGGGCGGTGGTTCTCGACGAGGCGATTGTTTTCCAGCAGTGCGATGAGAATGCAGCTGATTCCCTGCGGCCTGGCGCCGATAAGCTCTTAATCCGGCTCAGTTGTTCGGGATTGTTTGTGGTACAGTGTGTTTTTTGCTTTTTTTCTTACAGAGATTGATCGATCATGCTTGATAGGGACTCTTCTTTCGATCCGATCTATCGGCAAGAAAGGTAATCGGCTGTGTTTTTCCCCATGCGAGAGGTTGATCTTCTTACAGGCTCAGGCTTTGAGAGAGATAGGAGTTTCCAAAGGCCTTCATTTGATTCAAACTTTCTCGGATCAAAACCAGGTTCTTTCAGAGGCTCAGTGCGTGGTCGTGTGCGCCGAAAAGAATTTGGAGGAATTCAAAGCATCGCTTGACAGTAGCTGGAACTTTATAGCTGTTGAAAATTCAACACTTCAACTTGAGTCTCTACCTTTCGCGATCACGAGCTTGATAAAAAAGGTGTGATTGACCTCTGATAAACTCGCAAAGCTCAGCTTTTCTATTTTGTTTTTCTTACAGGAACTTGGAAACAAGATCACTCTCGTTGGTCACTGCATGAACTGGAATAGGGAGAAGGATTTGCTTCAGGTAATAAAGAAGAGCTCTTGTTTTAGAATAATTTGACTTTTTGTTTTTGTAGAGGGGTGCGCTCCCGTTTATGTCAACGTTTGGAATGTCTTTCACTCCATTAGATTTATCGTCTTCCCTGGATCGGCAACTTAGTGTGGTCGATATCGTGTTGAACAAAGCCACAGACGAGATTGTGAGCGTTTCAAAGGTGGTCTCGAACACCAACGAAAAATGGATAAATTTCTCTGACCGATTCAACAAGCTGGAAAGGTACCTTGCTCCTCTTCGTTTATCTATTTGGATTTCTCATTCTGCATACACAGGTATCTGCAAGAACATCCGGACATTCATGTCGTGGATCCTACTAATCGAGTGACACCCCTTATGGATCGTGTCGCTACTCAATCTCTTCTCGAAGAGCTGCCACTCATAGAGGTAGCTGCTGGCGGGGCAATTGTTCGTCCTCCTCGTTGCGTTAAGGTAACTCAAATCTTTAGTTTCTTATTTTCAGTGACAAGATCTACAGGTGACAGGATTTGATGATGCTGCCCTTTTCGACAAGCTGAAGTCTGCGAACTTGGTGGTTCCTACTATTGTTAAGCCGCAAATTGCTTGTGGTGCATCGGAGTCACACACCATGGTTTGTACTTTGATAAGAATAGTGCCTTTATCTTTTTTCCCGGGCAGGCTATTGTTTTCGAGGATCGTGGCTATTCCAACCTTGCTGTGCCTCTTCCAGCAGTTATTCAGGTAAGTCAGGAACTTCATCGGGACTGTGGTCTTACATGCTCCGGTTTTGTAATAGGAATACGTTGATCATCAATCAGTCATCTTCAAATTTTATGTTCTAGGTGAGCAGGTGTTTTACTCAACCAGGAAATCTACTCCGGACGCAGTCGTGCTACGCACGATGATCAACACAGCAGCGCCAATTATTGTGTTTGACAGGTACGCCATACATTTCCTACTTTCCTAGATCCATGAAGCCTAACACCTCTTTTTAGTTTGAAAACTTTACCGACTGGAAGAGCCGTCGATGAGAAAGCGGCAGAATCGGCTCTAGATATCACAGCAATGCGATCAACGGCTGCTGCGCTGAGACGGAAACTCGGACTTACAATCATTGGTTTCGACGTGGTTGTGAGTATGTGCGTAGTGATGTAAGGCTCTCTAAAAAGGATTTCTTTTGTCAGGTACATAGCCACACACGCGACCATGTTATAGTGGACGTGAACTACTTTCCAACATTCAAGGACGTTCCTGACACGGAAGCAGTCCCTGCATTCTGGAAAGCTTTGCAAGAATCGAGAAACACAAGAACTATCTAGCCAGCCACGAAGAAAAGAAGTAATAACCTCGGGAAGAGAAGGAGAGCCCTCAGCAAAAGCTTTTGGAGGAACTTCCGCGCAACTGAGGAGCTAGCCTGAAGTGCCACAGCCTCTTGGTTGGAGCTTCCTCCACGAGATTCGCGCGACACAGAAACTCCTCGCAGTACTGCCTCTCCACCGGCCGCTCCACGTCGTGTACGTATATATCCGTCGTTCCATTCTTCCGGCTCCTGGCCATGACCGACGCACTGAAAATCGCTGCCATTCTTCCAGGTGCCTCGGCAAAGTAGCCTCGGGGAGCGTCCACCATGATCACGTCCCAGTCAACCTCGTACAGCTTCTTGGGAAGATAACTCAGCGCGATCTTGCAAGTCGAGTTCCGGATGGCCTGCACTGGCCGGCACTTTCCATTGCGATTCTTCCTGGCGTGGTCCATGAGTCTCCCGGCATCCATCAACTTGGTGTTGTATCTGACGAGGTAGGCCTCCAGATCTGGATTCTTGCCCGTCACCTGTTTGATCCAATCCTCGGTTTCTTCCAGGAACACCGTGCGGCCACCGTGGTTGAGAGTTTTCCACATGACGCTGTCGAACCCCAGTCCAAAGACGAGAAAGTTGCAAGGGCCCCGTGCCGCGAGAACTCTCACGGTCATCATAATCTCGTCGAAAGTTTGCTGGGGGATTACCTTGCTGGAGACGTAGCGAGCGAGAGCGGTGCCTACCTCGAGCGGGAGTCCGCGATAGCTCTCCGGAAAGGCCGTCTCCTTCAAGTTCTGGAAAGTGGACTGGGTCTCGGGAGTGGTGTCCCGGAGAATGCACAGGCTGAGGAAGAAGACGAGCGGCAAGATAATGGATCCGGCAATCGCCCATTGCTTGGAGGAGATGTACTCGACGAAGCCCATCGCGCCAGAGACGAAAGAAGCAAGAACAAGATGGATGGATGGATCGAGAGAAAACTTGGTACTACTGCTGCTGCTGCTTATGACAAGGACTTGGTCCGTGATAGAAGCAACGATTCTTGGATCTAAATCTGGATCTGGGATGCAGAGCTTAGACACCAAAGAACCATTTTTCGTGGAGGCACGATTGGATCCATCAAGAAATCCCAGAGAGAGAGCCTGTAGGCTTTCACTCTCTTTTCTTTTCTCTTTTCTATGAGACCAAACGTGTCAAAAGCCTTTTTATGCAAAGAAAAAGCGATTTCTTCTAAAGCCACAAAGTTTATTGTAATTAAATAGATCTTTTCTTCCACAAGAGCTGCAAAACTGAGAGTACACAAGCACTACTTTGCTATTAGAGTGTGCCTTTTTCGAGACGCACCTAGAGAGCTAGCAGCGATGGTGTTTGATCAATCGCTTCTAATCGTCGCCAAAGGTTGTCTTCTTTCCTGCAAGTTCATGAGAGAGGAAGTTAGCTTTGGACTTTGGAGTATAGACAAACAAAGAACTACGTGAAAACAAACTTACCGGACGCTGCGACATTGATTTTCTGCCTTGGAGCGCTGCTTGGCCCGCGACCGCGACCACGATCACCACGGCCACGATCACCACGGCCTGTTAAAAAAGAGAAAAAAGAATAAGGCCTTGTTATCGAGAACTCGAGGGCCTTCTTACCTCTTCGACCACCGCGGTCAGCATAACCTCCACTACGGTCGCCATAGCGACCACCATAGCTTCCACCGCCGCCGCCACCATAGCTTCCACCGCCGCCTCCTCCTCCAGAAGGCTCGGTTGCGTCATCAACGACGAGGTTGCAGCCGTCCAGGTCTGAGCCGTGAAGTTCTTTGGCTTTGGCCGGAGCTCCGTCGGTACTGAATTCGATGTAAGCGAAGCTGTAGCCAACAAAAAAGAGTGAGAAACATTCTGGAAACAAAGTAAAACTCAAGTTACCCTTTGATATTTCCGGTTTCTCTATCAGTGGGAATTTTAACCCGCTCAATGGTACCGCAGCTTTTGAAGTGTTTAGTCAGCGACTCTCGTATCTGAGAAAACGGAGGTCACGCGAAGGTATATATAAGAGGAGAAATGTACCGAGTCTTCTTCTTGATACTTGTCGAAACCCTTGACAAAGACGGTATTTCCACTCGTCTTACGGTTGCCATTGAACCTATGAGAAGAATGCAATCTCGTAAGAAGTTTTCACGCAAACAAAAGTAAAAAACACAGGAAGAAGTAAACACACACCCCGGAGAAGGCCGGTCGCGCTTCGGTCCACTCGCAGGAGTACCCCTCGGATTTGCAAGATCACAGTAAATCCTCCTGCCACCCATATCTTGACCGCTTTTATTGAGTGCCTGGCATAGCGCGACATGAGCATCAGGACGAATGGAAGGAACAACAAAAAGGTACCTTTTGAGCAGCGGCTTCCGTTGAAAACTCAACGTGTGCAAACCCTTTCGGACCGTTATCGCCCTGCGCAATTCGCACGCCCACAACTTCACCAGCATCTTCGAAGTATTGTGCACTGCATTTACGGCAACAATGAGCTTGAGATTCTCTCGGAAAGAAAGAACTTACAGATCTTCGTCGGTTACAGAAAACGGAATGTTTCTCACAAACAGAGTTTTAGATTCGCCAGCCTCTTTCGCCGGAGTTTTCACCTGCATGAAGCGAAAGTTAGACAATCTACTGGAAGAGACCTAAAGCAATCTACCTCGTCAGTTTTTGTCGCTGCAGCTTTTCCATTCTGCAAAAGGTATCAGTATAGTATAGGAGAATAGCAATCATCACTTACTTCAAGCTTTTGCTTTTTCGAGGCTGGCGCTTGTTTGGCAGCTTTCTCCTCCTCTTCCTCTTCTTCTGATGAATCCTCCTCATCGTCTTCCTCATCTTTCGCAGCTGGCTTGGCCTTAGCAGCGACTTTAGCAGCAGGCTTAGCAGGCTCATCGTCATCGTCGCTGTCATCATCGTCACTGCTCTCATCAACGTCCATCGGAGCTGTAGAAGCCTTGGCATTAGTCTTCGCCGCAGGCTTCTTCTCCTCTTCGCTCTCATCACTACTGTCATCACTATCACTCTCCTCCTTCGCAGCAGCCTTTTTGTTGGTAACAGCAGGCTTCACTTGGGCCTTCTTCGCAGGCGTTTTGGTGGCAGCCTTGTCCTCTTCGCTCTCCGAATCACTACTGTCATCGTCGCTGGACTCATCCTTGGCAGCATTCTTCTTGGGAGTAGCGGCGGCGGCGGCAGCGGGCTTCGCCAGTGGCTTCTTCACTGCAGGCTTCTCGTCTTCGTCGTCACTATCATCTTCACTATCGCTCTCACTTTCCTCGACTTTTTTCTTCGCAGTAGTGGCCTTCGCAGGAGTGGCGGCAGGCTTGGCTTGCGGCTTGGGCTTCTCCTCTTCTTCGTCACTGTCATCGTCACTGTCGTCACTGCTCTCCTGTGCCTTCTTTGCCGGAGCCACCACCGCAACCTTGGCCTGCGGCTTCTTCACCGCAGGCTTTGCTTCCTCTTCCTCATCGCTACTCTCATCGCTGCTATCACTCTTAGCCGCCTTCTTCGCAGCTTTTCCCTGGGGCTTCTTCACCACAGGCTTCGCGTCTTCTTCATCGCTGCTGCTATCGCTGCTATCGTCCTCGCTTTCCACCTTCTTAGCCGGCGGCGGTGGCGGCGCCTTCTTCCGCTTGGCGGGGACGGCCTTGGCGGGGGGATTTCTTACCTCCTCATCGCTGCTGGAGTCGGATGAAGAAGAATCCACCATAGCGGCCGACTCTCGCGCAAAACCCTAGACCACAGCGACCTAAATCGTCGGCTTAAACCCTAGTGCCGGGAATATGCCGTCAGCGTTAGAACATTCCGTTAGCGCGAGTGAAGGAGAGAGAAAGTTTTAAGTAGAGGGAAGAAAGAAGTGTTTTAAGGGTTCCAGAATGTGGGGAATTTCGCGTAGAGCGGTAGAACGAATCGCTCGCCCCGGCCGCGATGCCGCGGCGCTGCTATCGGCTCGAGAGATTCACGCCACGAGGCCGGCGCTCGACGGAGGTATGGCGGTGATTCTCGATTTCCTCTCTCGCGGGTTCTTAGATTCGGAGTTTTTCCTGTTCTTGCAGCGCGCGCGCCCTTGGTTAGCAACGAGGAGGCAGCCAAGATGAGCTGGTATCAAGGTTAGAGTTGTGTCGGTCGATCCATCCCTCTTTCAATCGAGCTTGGATTGAACGAGATTTTTCTTGCAGTGCTAGATAAGACGGGGGATACGATGTTCTTGGCCGAGTGTGTTCGTGGCTTGATGCTCACGCTCAAGTATTTCTTCGAGCCCAAAGTTACTGTGAGTAGCCCCTCCGTTTCTTTCCAAGGTTTTTATAGCTCCATGGTTCTCGCAGATAAACTATCCCTTCGAGAAAGGACCACTCAGCCCCAGGTTTCGTGGCGAGCATGCTTTACGACGCTATCCCACGGGAGAAGAGCGATGCATCGCTTGTAAACTCTGCGAAGCGGTAAGAAACTGGAAAAAAACGTTGCGTTTTTCATTGATTGATCTAGCTGTTCTTCACAGGTCTGTCCGGCACAAGCCATAACTATAGAAGCCGAAGAAAGAGAGGATGGTAGTCGTCGAACTACGAGGTATACTAAGTTTGTGTTTTCTTTTGGTTGGTTTGATAGTAACTTAGCACCCTTTGTCGCAGGTATGATATCGATATGACAAAGTGCATCTACTGCGGATTCTGCCAAGAGGCTTGCCCAGTCGATGCTATCGTTGAGGGACCAAATTTTGAGTTTGCAACCGAGACTCACGAGGTGAGGAGCTGCAGTTTCTCGCAAATCTTTCTCTGACGCTCAATGAACTTCCAGGAGCTCTTGTATGACAAAGAAAAGCTGCTAGAGAATGGAGATAGATGGGAGACCGAGATCGCAGAAAACTTACGCGCAGATAGCTTGTACAGATGAGCACAAAGAACGGGAAGAACGGGAATAAAGCAACGAAGTGTACAAGTACCTCGCACACCACTGGTGAGTTTTTTCCAAGCTTTCCCAGATCGAGCTCGAGAGAAAAATTCTATAAAAAAAACTCTTGCCGGAGAATGACGAAAACACTGGTTTGATCATCGGCCATTGACAAGCTTCTTGAGAACGTTCCTCTTTCTTCGATCCTTTTCCGCGAGAGCTCTCTCGGAGAGGACGTGCTTGAGTCTATGCATTGACAGCTTCACCTGGAAAAATCGAGAGGAAAACTATCGGTCCTGAAAGGAAAACCAGGAAGAGCGCCACATTCTACCTTGTCAATCCGGTCCCTGGCAGCGATTTTAATGTTTTGCGACTTGAGCATGAGAACTTGGGACATGAGCATGTTCTTCTCGATGTAGAGAACATACCACAGCTTGTGGAGATCGTCCCACGATTTAATCCGCAACTCCTCGGTGCGCCAGCTCCTTCCTGGAGATTTGGCAGCAAAGAATCAGAAGTTCGAAAAACCCTGGCTAAACCCACCACAGTAGTCCCCCTTTTTTGGATCGGGGCCTCGCCCCGCTTCGAAGAACGCATCCACGCCGCCAGATTCGCTGTGATTCAAGGTAAATTTCGATCGGCGAGACGCATTCCCCCATAGCTGCCCCGTCGCCGTCCTCGCGACGCGGACGAGCAGCGCTTGCATTCTCTCTTTTCTCTTAAGCCCTAAACGAATATTCTACGAATACTTTAATTAGTCACCACGGGGAGTTTAAATTCCGGCCAGATACTTCATCCGGGCCGTCCATTTCTAGAAACATTCTTCGCTTGTCACACTGGGACGCCAGAGCGTTTCATCCCCGCCTCCGTCCATGAGAGAGATCCCCAGCGACGAGAGCTTGTCTCTGATTTCGTCTGATTTTCCAAAATCCTTGGAGGCTCTGGCGGCTGCTCGCTCGTGAATTTGGAGTAGAAGCTCGTCCTCTGTCAACCCAGCTCGTTTCAAGGCCTTGCTTCGAAGCTCTTGGAGAACCTGAGAGAAAAAGAGTTGTGTTATTCTAAGATCTAGCAGACCAAGTAGGAAGGAACAATGCCTGTGAGTAGTCCGCCACGGAAAATCCCAAAACTTCCAGCGCTTGTTCCACTTCCAGACGAAGAAGATCTAGAGACGAGTAACGGCTCTTATCTTTGCGACCCTGAGAAACATAACAAGTAAGAAAACCAAAAAGTTAGACATAGAGATTGGCTTACTCTTTTAGAATGTAGAAGCTCGTTCATCAGCTTCAATGGCTCCGAGAGCGCTCCTATTGTCACAGGCGTGTTTAAGTCGTCTGCTAGAGACGATCTCAGGGACAGTCTCAAAGCCTTCGCGTTCTCGGCAGCTTTCTGTGAAACCACGTAGCTTTTCTCTTCCTTTTGCGAACCCTCGACGCATCTCTTTGCATCAAACAAAGTCTGCAAAATAAGCGAAGAAAAATGAAAGGCAAAGTGAGTCATTGGTACTGTAAAGAACCATGAAATAACAAGCACCTGGTATAGATAGAAGAGACGTTGCGAAGCGTTCTGTAGCTGGGATTCCGAATAATTGATCGGAGATCGATAGTGTGTGCAAAGTAGAAACCATCTTAGAGCCAGAGGATGGTAGAGCTCGAAAACCTTGCAAAGCCAGGCCGAGTTAATCAAATCTGCATTCCACGATCAAAACAAAGAAGAAGAGAGAGAGAAAAAAACACTCCTTTACCTCGCGGATCGTGAAGAAATTACCAAGAGACTTTGACATCTTCTCCGAGTCCACTGTGACAAAGCCATTGTGCATCCAGTACGTGATATTGCTCTCGTGACACGCTGCCCGGCTCTGGACAATCTCATTCTCGTGGTGTGGAAATATTAGATCCATTCCTCCGCCATGAATGTCGAAGGAGCTTCCCAGTGTAGCACCGCTCATGGCACTACACTCGATATGCCACCCCGGCCTCCCAGCTCCCCATGGACTCTCCCAAGAAGGCTCGCCATCTTTAGAGCTCTAAAAGAGAAGGCATTGTGAGAAAAAAAGAGAAAAGAGAGAAAAAAACTCTTGAGTTTTTTAGAAACTTGCCTTCCAGAGCACGAAGTCTCCTGGATTCAGCTTTCTGTCGTCGACAGCAACCCGCTCGCCAGCACGATTATCATCGAGTTTTCTGCCAGACAAGCGACCATAGCAATCCGGGAACGCTGGCACGAACTTGTCTAGAGAGAAATAGACGTCGCCATTATCAAGAACGTATCCATATCCATTCTCCAGGATCTACAAACGCACGAATTCGCGTGTCAAAGATAGCTCGGAAAGATTTTCATCCTTAACCTGCGAGATCATTTTAATGATCTGGTCGATGTTTCTGGAGACTCGAGGCTCCAGTGACGGTGCTAGACATCGTAGCGAAGCCATGTCCCGGCGGAACTCGTCGCAAAAGCGATTGCTTAACTCGATGGGATCATCTCCAAGATCGTTGGCTCGTTTTATAATCTTCAAAAACAGAACAAAAAAAAAAAAAAACTATCTGTTGAAGAAATGTATGAAAAAAAAAAACTTACACACCTTGTCATCAATATCTGTGAAGTTCCGCACGTACGTTACCTCGTATCCCATGAATGTAAAGTATCTGGCAGCAAAAAAACGAAAAAAAAATAAAAATGCAGCTGTGAGGAAAAACACAAAAAGACGACCAAGTACCTGTAAAGAACATCGAAGAAAACGTAGACCCTGGCGTGACCAATGTGGCTATAGTCGTAAGCAGTGACTCCACACACATACATGCTAAGCTTCCCATGAATTCTCGGCCGAAACACTTCCTTCTCCCTGCTCATTGTGTTGAAAAGAAGAATCTCTACACTCTCCTCTTTGTTTACTCTCGCATTTGGTGCTTGATAGACGAGGCTTGGAGTGAAAGAAGAAGATCTAGGTCGAGCGCAAGCGTGGCGATGGGAAGAGCTAAAATCTCCACCCCCGGCCTCGCGAAACCTCTGATTGCTTCTACTCGGCCTAGCGCCTACCTTGACGAGAGAAATGCTGTGATTTGGAGCTCCGGCTAGAATGGCGCTCCCCATCCCTGTAGGGTTTCTACTACGATAGAAGATAACCACATTCCAATCTATCACCTTCTAAACATTTGGAGAACAATTGGTTAGAACAATGGATCATATTAACAAATCTTTTTGTTCTTTATCTACAAAACTTTCTCGAGTGGTGCTGCCAAGAAAAAGATGGCCCATTGCTGTCCAGTGTGCCATTCCAAAAGGTTTGCAGCAAAATTATCTCCAGGAGATTGTCAATCTTTTATGGTGCTGGCATTGTTGGGCCGCGAGGAGCCAGGAACTTTGCCGCGGACGTTATACTGCTCGTAAACTCGGTGTCGATTCTCTTGCCACCAGATCTCTGCCTGCTTCTCACTGAATCTCTTGCGGCTGCAAAACCAAACATCAAGAGAAGAAAATTCGAACAAAAGCGAAAGAGAAACGAAGAGCTTACCTGAATCTAACACGCTTCAAGTCTTTGCCACCGCCGGGTAACGCCGTAAGAGTTATGTACACTCCGGGTTGGTCTTGTTCCACCCATTCCTCCACACCACTTTCACTGGTAGCCGAGTTGGAAGCTCGGCCATCCGCCTGGTCGTGAAGTCTGGAAGTATCAACGTCGGACAGCCTCGCAGGGACGTCGCAGACAACGTTCCCATGGCTTCTAGTACCATCTTCCGGCAGTGGTGCGCTTGGAGGCTCTGGCCTCGTTCGATAGCTTCCCGGGGGCATCCTCTCCGCCAGGTCTTTGAGCTGGGACCCAAGAAAGTAATGGAAAATTAAAGACAATAGCTGCGAGGACCTCGCTTTTTCTTACTTGTGCTGTCAGTGACATGATCACCTCCTTCGCAGCCTTACACTTCGCGGACTCGGCACCGGCGACCGCAAAGGCATCTTGAATCTGCTTGGAGCTGTGGAGTAGCTCCTTCTCGTGCGACTCGCAACGTCTTGTCAGTTTCTCCACCTGGAAAGACACGATGAGTTAAAGTCTACACAAAACCAAGCAAACTTTTTTCTTCTTCACCTGAGCTTTAAGTCTCGAGATCTCCAGAATGAGGCTCTCGTTTTTGAGCTTCACCTCCTCCACCTCGTGCTTTGGAGAAGTCAAGCCGCCCACCGTTGGTATCGGAGTCGCGGACCTTGGTGGACTGGGCCTTCTCGATAGAGGTGAAACAGCTCTGGAGCCGACTCTCGACTGTGGAATTGACTTCGCTGCGTCCAAGAAGGCGTTGAAGGCAGCCGGGGCATTCACACCACCCCACTGCAGAAGACCATTCGGCATCGGTGACACCCGACTAGTAGAATCCGGTCGTTTACTTCTCTTGGTCGTCTTGACATCCGTCTGCTTGAACAGGTCCCCCTTGGTCTGCACTTTCAGGAACCTTGTCTCGCTGTTTTCCTTCGGGGCAGTCACGGACACACTGCTCCTGCTCATTTTCAAGAAGCAAGTGTCGCACACTCGATGTAGCTTCCGTGGATTCGGGGCCTGCGACGCGTATAGTGCCTTCTTCGAGCTGCATGAGTGACAGTAAGGCAGTCCACAGTTGTAGCAATTGTGCTTCTTCCTAGTGAAGCCGAAAGGCTGCCTGCATCCCGAACACATGGAATTCCCTGTCCCTACCCCTGGCCCAGACTTGTGGAGACAGATTGCCGACGTAAAGCTCGATCCACACGAAACTTTCTTCACCTGCTTGTCCCTGAGAGCTTCCACCAGTGACGGCACATCCCGGTCCTCCGCATCACCATGTCCAAGCCTGCCATTTGCTCCTTTTCCCCACGTACAAACGTCACCTTTTGATGTCAGCGCAGCAACGTGGTAGGCTCCGCAAGAAACCTCCTCAATCAGTGTTCTGCCCAACCTCAGAACGCCAGGAAGCCTTCCCGTAGCCTGAGGATCTCCCAGCTGACCGTAGGATACACTTCCCATGGTGTAAAGGTGTCCTGTTGTCGTTAGAGCCACCGTAAGGCTGTGGCCACACGCCACTTGACGAAAGTTGTGATCAACGAGAGCAGCGACGCAAGTCGGAACCAACTTTTGCTCCTTATCACCATGCCCGAGCCTGTTCTTGTCTCCATCCCCCCACGTAAAAAGCTTCCCGGACAACGAGCTACCGGCGTTGGAGTATCTACTCATCACCTCCACCACCGCCGCAGTATGCCAAGGGCCACAGGCAGCTCTGAGAGTCTTGAGCCCCTTGAGCGACTCCACTTCTCTGGGCATCGACGCACTCTTCCTGTCACCATGCCCGAGCACCCCAAACGTTCCATCGCCAAAGCTGAAAAGCTGACCGGTGGAAGTCACTAGGACTGTATGCCAAGGTCCACAGGCAACCGACGACACACGTACTCCTTCCAAGGGACCACCCACTCGCTTTGGAGTCCAATGGCTGATGTTGTTACCGTGTCCTAGAAGTCCAAAGTTATGAGTTCCATCGCCCCAAGTGTAGAGATCCCCGGACTGTGTCACCGCACAAGAGTGGTACTCGCCGCAAGCAACGTACTGGACGGTGGAGCTAGCGAGTGAGTCGATCAGCTGGGGGTGAGCTACGTCGGCATCCACACCATGTCCCAGCCTCCCACCACTCTCTTCACCCCAAGAGAAAACTTCTCCTTGCCTGGTCACCAATGCGGCATGACGAACACCGCAAGCGATCTGCTGGACGTCGAGCACCACCAGTGATCTCACCGCTCGCGGAAGAAACGCATCTGTTCTAAACGAAGTGTCGAGCTTCTTCGTGCCACCACCATCCCCAATTCCTTCCCCCCACATCCACAGCTCCCCGAAAACATCCCCCTCCTCCTGCCCAGATCCCTGGCTCGACGAGCTGACAGCGCTAGACATGCTCGTCGCCGTCCACACGGAAGCATCGATGAGCGCACCACCCCTGCTCCTCAAGCTCTCCGCGTTTGCGGCCGAGTGAGCGGCAGATCGTCCCTTGGAAGAATCAACCGTGTATAGCGCTCCCGATGGGAAGGTCTTCCCCACGCCATTCCTTGGAGGACTTCCATAGCAATCCGTCCTCCTGTCGACCATGCTCCTGCGAATTCGGCATTCTCATGAGCTCGAAAAAGAAGAAAGAAATCCACACCTCTCTAGAAATCGCTGCCGCTGCTACAAGAATCCTTGCAAGGCCGTATTCCCTGCAATCCATGAGCTGCTCGCGCGTATCTCATGCGAGGACTTCGTCTTGCCGGACGCCGCCTAGGGTTCTCGACAAGAAAAGAACCATGCGCGATCCAAATTCCAGCCTCCACACCTGCATTCTCGCGTCCCAGAGCTGCGATCCGCGGAACCATGCCTCGATCCGGCGGGAATGGCACCGGTTCTTGGCGCCGCGCTCAAAATTTCCGGCCCTGACACATTGAATCGGGAGAAAAAGGAGCTGGAAACCTGGAATCTCCTGGCGAATCGATCGATCGCCAATGGAAGAGCACCGCTCTCTTTCTCGCTCTATTAGGGTAAAGCTGCCTCTCGGCCCTGTCTTGTCGAGAAAAAATAAATCAAACTAAAGGCACGAACGCGAGAAGGCAGTATAGTCAGAGTTCGACGTGCGTGACGGGTACTTAGCCCGTCATTCGTCCTTCACAGTAATTTAGGGTTCTTGGGCGATTTATTTAGGGTTTGCGCCAATGGAGCACGCGATCGAGGCATTCAAGCGAGAGGAATCGCTGGGCGCTCGCCATTCCGGGGCTGCGGCAGCTAGCGACGGCAAGATCCACATCGAGCGCACACAGTAAGCTCCGGGGGCGCTGGTTTCGTGAATTTTCACTCCATTTTCTTCGATCAGGTATCCCTATGTCACTGGATCGTCCGTGCTGGGGATTAAGTACAAGGATGGGATCCTCCTCGCAGCGGACATGGCCGGTATGTGTGTGAAATCTCTTGCGAAGAAATGTTTTTGAGGAGATTCCATTTGCTTAAGCTTCCTACGGATCTACAAAGAGGTACAAGAGCTTCCAGAGGCTAAAGCCCGTCGGCAAGCACGCTGTGATTGGAGCTAGCGGGGAGATGAGTGACTTCCAGCAGATTTCTACCATGCTGGATGAATTAACGTGAACATTTTCACTTCTTCTTCCTCCTTTTTCTGATGATGGTTTCTCGCAGCTTGCGCGATCAGATGTGGGACGACTCGAACACTCTCGGGCCTCACGAAATTCACAGCTACTTGAACCGGATCATGTACCAGCGCCGGAACAAGTTTGATCCCTTGTGGAACAACATCATTCTCGGTGGTGTGAAGAATGGGAAGAAGTACCTTGGAGTGGTAAGTTTCTCGATGATTTTACACTACATGAGCTAGAGAAAACTCAATCGAGGTTCACAGGTTAGCATGATAGGCGTTCACTTCGAGGATGATCACGTCGCGACTGGATTCGGCCAACACCTTGCGCGTCCAGAGCTGCGAAAGCAGTGGCGGGCCGACATGACTTTGGAAGAGGGTGTTCGTCTCTTGGAGAAATGCCTCCTTGTTCTCTACTATCGCGATCGGTCGTCGATTAACAAATACCAGGTAAGAAACTTTGTCATCTTTCTTTTGTCTCACGGATGATTTTGGCTTTGCCAGATTGCGAAGGTGACAGAGGAAGGTGTGACAATCTCGTCTCCGTTCGCTATCGAAACAAACTGGGACCTCGAAGCCTTCCAGAATCCCACGAAAAACGCAGAAGGTTCTTGGTAGTTTGATGACAATGTTTTTACAAAAAAGCTCTCTTTTTTATCTTTACAACAAGCACGAGTAATTGGCCGTTTTGAACGAGTGTTCTCCGATGTAGAATTCCTCCTTGTTCGCTTCGGCAGTGGCGGGCCGGATAGAAATCCCCGACAGTGTCTGGCCTTTGCAAGAGAAATCAACTCTCACTTTCATGCTCAGCTTCTTAAGTGATTCTTCGTCTTCGAGTGACTGATCAGATGCTGCTAGTGGAAATTGTGCTCGCAATCGTCCAGGCGGAGTTCGCAGCTGGAAGAAAAGACCAAAATGTGTTTAGAGTCCAAAACGTATACCGAGAAAAACTTACTCCAATCTCTCCAACCTGCCATCTTAATTCTTTCGTACTGCGATCCAGAGCCGCTCTAGAAGATTAAAGAGTTAGTGAAGAAACGTTATCTTTAGAAAGAAACAATGATCTTACCTGGGAGAAACTTTAAGAGACTCTGGCGAACATGGTAGGCAGAGAACAAACGTCACGTCCTTCAGTTCTCTTGGCAAGTACGGGTTGACAACATACTGGCCAAGAAAATCAAAGAGAAACAGTGAGAGATCGAATCAAATCACCAAATATCACACGTACCTGTATCATCACCGAAAGTAGGAACCCGACCTTCTTAGCTACAAGCCTAGCGAAGGAAAGAAAGGAAAAGAACCAAGTGTTAAAGACACTGGAGCACGGAAAGCAGACATACCTCATCCGTAGAGGCAGCGGTGTAAAGCGGGGATGCAAACGATATTTTAAAACGGCCAAAGGACTCTCCGCTGGTGGAGTTCGAACATGAAAGTATCCTTGTCCTAGGCTGCTAGTGATTGACGACTTTAAAACACCGTTCTGGAGCTCAAGCGAATAATAGGGAGTTAGAACTGAAAATCATTGAAGCGCTGGCTGGATCATACCTTGATTCCGGCAGCTCCTTCCAGAGAGAAGGAAAACTCCGTGTCAGTCTCGCCAGCGGCAGCCGGATCTGGTGTTTTTAAATGCAAAACTCCCTGTAGGCCGGTTCTGCTCAGCACCAGGCCTTTAAACTCGGCATAAATTTCTTCCGTGAACCAAAGGAGCGGGGTTCTTGTCTCGGCTGGCTTGTCATCCTTTCTCTGTGTACCTGCAAAGGAAGTTAAATAACATACTTTGAGAAAGTGTGTATAAAAAACGTATTTCTGGGCTTACCTTCGTGAGCACCAGTGACGACAAGCTCGCTGGCGAGATCACCCTTGGCCTCAGATTTTTCGGTGGCTGGTTTCGTGCCAGCTTTTCTTCCGCCACCACCTTCTAATTCCTCTAGCCCGGCTAGGCCTGAAGCAGCAGCTTTGTCTTCCGCTGTCGCATAATCAGAGGCGTCCAATCCTCCACCAAAAGCATCCGTCAGGCCTTCAAATGCGTCTCCAAATCCGCCACCGTAGTCGTCATTGAAGTCGAGGCCTCCATAATCGCCTTCGAAGCCTTCCACTCCTACAAATGTCGACTCCGCTGCACCAGGTGCTACGGTGGGAACGCTGAGCTCCGAAAGCCCCGCGGTTATGTCTTTCGTGTCCTTTGCCTTTTTGAAACCGCCAGCGAGAGATTCTGGCTTGGTGAGAGCGTCGCTTGCAGCAAAAGGATCCTCGTTCTCGGCTGGCTTCTCCTCTGGCGGCGGCAGTGCAGGTGTGGCAGCTGGTGCCGGAGGAGCTAGCGTAGCTTTGAACTCGTCACCGGCAGCGATGGTCTCTTCTGGTATCTCAAAAGTTGCATTGGACAAAACCTGGGATTTCAAACGTTGGCCATTTTGAAAAAACACAAGGAAGAATCTTACCTCCACATTTGCTAGACGTTCTGACGGGTGGTGCTTTATTTGATTCCAGCTATCAGCGCCTCGAGCACGGTTCTCAGCTTCGGCAGCAGAAAAAAAGATTTGTCCAACGTTGTCGCCGTGAATGGAAGACAAAATGAACGAAAGTCGCGCGGCACTGACTCCATGGAGAACCGCATCAAGAGTCATATAAATCTATTCCATGAAAGTGACCCTAAGAAAACTAAATTAAAACAAATGGAAAGACGCTTACCTCGGTGTACTTTCTGATGACTCTGTCGGTGTTAACATCGATACCTTTGCAAGCTGCAACCAAAACACTAGTATGCTCCTGGTCTCAAAAGATCAGATGGAGGTAGCAGCACGAAAAGGACTTACCTCACAGTCTGGTTTACAACATTTGCACATTCGAAGATATTATTTGCAGAGTCATCCTGGTGAGCGCTTGTGATACCAAGCACGTACACTGTGTTTACCAAGCGATAAACAACACGGTATCTAACCAAAAAACACAGACAGAGAAGAAGATCAAGATCATGGAAACATCTAAGTTGAGATCAACAGAAAACAAGGAATAGGCAATGCGTCATCTAAAAGTCCAGAAAGCATTCAAGCAGATCACAAAAATCCAAAGAAACATTCAATGAAGTAAATGAGATCGCAAAAATCGAACCAAAAGCAATTTCAAGTGAAGAACTTAAACACGGTATCTATACAAAACACACAGAAAGAAAAAGTCATGGAAACATATAAGTTGACATCAAAAGAAAACAAGGAATAGGCAATGCGTCATCTAAAAGTTCAGAAAGCATTCGAGAAAATAAATCGAGAGATCACAAAAAACGTCAAGGAAATAAGTCGAGAGATCACAAAAACATTCAAGGAAAGATCACGAAAGTCGAACCACAACCAATTCAAAGTGAAGAACTCACTTGTTTTCCTTTCCAACAACAACTTGACCGCTTGCAGCAGCTAGAGCATCGTCCCCTAGCCTGACAAGAGAAAGAAAACGAAGAGTATAAGAAAATGTAGCATCTCTAGTCTAGATCTAGAACTCACCCGGTCCCAACAACATCCACAGAGATTTGTTTGCCCGCCGCGAAGGCGATTCGAGTGCTGCGAAAGCTTGACGAAACATCCGCGGCTCTGGCAGGAGGGAACCATTCGCGGCTGCAATACCAAGAGATTATCAATCCCCCCCATCGATCGCGCGCCGGATCTAATCTATCCGATGGAAGATCACTTACGTCTGGAGGAGAACATCGGGTCCTTTGACGGGCTGGAGCGCCAGTGCCAGGCACGCCATAGACGGAGAAAAAGAACAAGCGTTAAAGCCCTAAGAATATTCGCGGGGTACATTAGGGTTCTTGGGAGGCGAGGTTATTTCCTTTCCCAATGGTGGAGGTCGAGAAGGCGCCGATGGCGATGCCGGTGGATGCGAGCGAGCGCGAGGAGGGGGAAATCGTGGCGTCCCCCAAATCCATCGTCAAGGAGAAGCATCCGCTGGAGCACTCGTGGACGTTTTGGTTCGATAACCCTAGCGGTAAGAACAAGCAGCAGCAGTGGGGAAGCTCATTGCGGCCGGTCTACACCGTGAGCACTGTCGAGGATTTCTGGTGGTAAGCCCCTCGATCCATGCCCCTTGCTTTCGATTCTGGGATCTAAGATACAAATGCGCCTCTATTTCTTTGCAGTCTCTACAATAATCTCGTGCAGCCGGGTCGATTGATCAGTGGGGCGGACTTTCACTGCTTCAAGGAGGGAATCAAGCCCGAGTGGGAAGATCCGAGGTGTGCGAATGGGGGGAAATGGACTGCTGCTCCACCGCGAGGTAGCAAGCAAGCGCTGGATCAGTTCTGGCTAAACACTGTGAGTATAAGAGAGATTTCTCTCGTCTTTCATCGTGGCTTTTCTGCTTACATTCTTGTTCTTCCAGCTGCTCGCTTTGATCGGTGAGCAATTCGATGAGGCTGATGAGATCTGTGGCGTGGTGGTGAGCGTGAGGCCGAGAGGAGATAAGCTCTCCTTATGGACCAAGACGGCTAACAACGAAGCCGCTCAGGTAAAGAGATCTTCTCTTTCCTTCTCTTCGTTTTGGTTGAGTTCTCTAGCATGTTTCTTCTTGTTCTAGCTTTGCTTTTTTCCTTTAGCAAGCTTTGAATGGTTCTTTCATAAGATTTGTTTTCTATTAGTTTTTGCCTTGTCCTTGCCCGAGCTCTGAAAAGTTTCCTTGTTTTGGGCGATTCCAGATGAGCATTGGAAGGCAATGGAAGGAGTTTCTCGAGTACCAGGACAGGATCAACTTCATGTTTCACGTAAGAATCTCTTTATTCTCATTCTGCCCAATCGCTTTAACTTTTGGTCCTACTTTTTCCAGGAGGATGCAAAGCGTGGTGATTCGAAGGCGAGAAATCGCTACTCTGTATGATAACCTTCTAAGCTCAATTTTGCTGGATCGCATTTTAAAAGGATGGATGTTTCAATGGCTTTTTGTAACCGTGTTACAAAATAAAGCTATAAGGGGAAAAAGAAGATTCTCTCGTTCTAGTGGTTTAGGGTTTATATTTATTCTCTCAATGGCGTCGAGCCAGGGATGGCGCCTGTCTCTGGCGGCCAAGCGCGCGAAGAAGAGAACGCGGTGCTTGGATCAAGATTGCTGCCGCCACAGTAATCTCCGCTGCGAGCACTGGCGCGAGCTCAAGAGCTACGCCGTGGAGCTCTGTTCTTGCGATTCCTCCCAGGTAATACTTCTTTCTTCCCTTGCGGCACTCGCAGCGCTCCTGGATTTCCAGTCCCTGCTGCCAGCTTCCTCACTGATATGAAATGCTGGCAGTCCCTCTGTGTCGCAGGGCGATCGCGTCAAGACCCTCAAATCTCTCGCGGCGCTGCTCCTCTGCCTCGCCGCCGCGGACGATCCGGCCAATGCAGATGGAGATTACGCGCTATCGGTGGCCGTGGGCGAGGCAATGGTGACCATCGCTCACGACGACGTGGTCCGGCTCTACAAAGTCTTGTTCCAGGAGCTTGCGAAGATTAGCAGCTATTTGCTCACGAACTTCTGGTATGTCCCGGAGATGGTACCTTGTTCCAGTGAGGCGGCGCTCCACTTCGAGGCGCTTGCTCAAACGCTGTGCTGCTGCATCCGGATCATTCCCATCGTGGATATGTTCAACACCAGCATGAGTCACACTGCCGCATCGACTGTCCACGATATGCTCCACCATCTTTGCTCGCCGTCGAAGTTCTTCCCTCTTGGCTCGCCTTACACCGTGAAAGAACATCAAGACGTCGTCTTGAGGAGCGCCCTGCTAGAAGTATGCAAAAGATCTCTCCTTTTTCCCTTTATTGACATCTTTGTTTTGTAGGTGTTCTTGGATGAGATCTTACTCCACCGGGCTCTGACATTCCCAGAAGGCGAAGAATTCTCTTACCGTGCGTCGATCGAAGCTGCATTCGCGCATATGTTACACTTTCAATTTCTGCAAGACCGACCGTTCCAACAGTCCAAGCTTAGTCTTCCTGCGGGTGTTCTTCTGCTCGACATGTCCACTAACAACCAAGTTCCTAGCGACTTACTGACGCACATCATATCGCTCGTGACCGGAGCATTGGTCCCAGGTGACTTGGGTACGAGTTGCGACGCTGGGAGCTTCGCTGCGATCCAGGCCCAGAATTATATTCCACACTTTCAGCTGGACGACGAGTTGCCGCATGGAGTAGCTATTGGATTGGCATCTTCGGTGGTAGAAACAGCAATGGGGTTACTGTCAAAGTATTACTCAGCATTTGCAGCACGGGACAGAGATGGTTTCGAGAGGGGGACACAAGCACTAAGTTATGTTGGGGGATATAACAGTGACCAAGGCGAGTATTCCTCTACGTTGGCTGCTCTACTCCGGGCGATGGCTTGTGCAATAAATCGGCTTGTTAGAGAGGTCTGTACTATCAAGTGCCAGGACAGGGATGGGGAGTTGATTGGTGTTCGGGACCTTGCCATTCAAAGAACTTTCGAGACGGTTGCTACTGCCATCAGGTTTAATATGCCTTCCACAAAGTTTATGCACGCTATTGGCTGTTTCAATCTGAACATGGTCGAGGCTTTGACATCAGAAAACGCAAGAGGAACCATAGGATGGACGCTTGTTATATTTGCTCACATATTTTCCTACGAGTCACTGAGGGGACTGGATGAAGCTGTGGCCGTCGAATACGTTCGCGTTTTGGACTCTCTCCTGGCCTTGTTACTACTCGAGAGTAGACCCGATAACGGCGTCATGGACGATGAGGTGCCCGCTTCTACAAACTTTTTCCTGCGTGAGATGATTAAGTCGCTTCATCAAACAGCCTGGGACATGTGTTCCCGTAAGGTAACTTGTGTGATTCCAACGGCTCACTTCTCTTAGCTTTTCGTTTCTGTTGGCATGCAGAAGTCCGCGACGAAGCTCTTGTCCTTTATATCAAAAGTCACTCCAATTGGTAGGAAGGATTTGCCAACAATTGAAGCTGTCGACTGGCTGTCGCCTGGCATCAGCTTCGACGCCGGGAAGGATTTGCCAACTATTGAAACTGTGACACCTGACATCAGCGTACATGAAACAATCCAAGAGGTCGTTCAAGAGGTTGTGCAAGAGGTCATCGTGGAGGAAGCATCAGATTCGACGACTCCTTTGAAACCCAGGCCATCGACATTGATCATAGCCAAGCGGTTCAAGCTAAAGAAGCTCCGCGTGGAACAACTTACTGATACACCTGTGGAGAGGACAAGCGCACCAGACGACACACCTGTGGAGAGGTAAGTCTTTCTGTTTGTCCGTCTTTTGAGCTTATGGCTGTTTTCAGCAAAACGAAGAAAAGGAGAAGACGTGGCGCAGGAATGAAGAACTGGAGTGCAGAAGCGTGCATTAGCAAGAGAACGCGTAGCGCCACCAAGAGCAAGAGCCCCGCGGCAACAGTCAGCAGTAGCAACAAGAACCGCCACGTTGAGAATCCTTTCGTCGCAGAGATGCTGACCAGGGAGACGTACGAAGAGTCTTTCGCCGACTTGAACGATTTCATCGTCTGCAAGAAGGGCCGCAACTACACAAGGTTCCTCAACGCCCGGATCAAATACAGGCGCAAAAGCCACACTCGAATGATTTGGAAGCGGCGGGACGAAAGGCAAAGCCTGATGAAGCTGCTCGAGCTGTGCGGCGAAAGGCCGTGAGCATCAAACAGGTTCTTTTCTTTTCTTTTCCTCTCATCTCAAAACAAGTCTTTCTCAATCTTTCTTTTCAGCTCCAGATGTACACTCTTCTCCCAAAACTAGCTGGTACCTGTGAACTGCTTAACTCTATCGACAACGCCGCGAACAGCACTCCTGGTCGCGTCCATCCAACTTGCTCCGCCTCCACTGGTGTTCTTTCCTCTCCCGGGAGTGGCCGCATCCTTGTCAACCTCGGTGTCCTCCATGACAAAGGTATCGGCCCGCATCTCCTCGCCTATAGGATCACTAGCGGCTGCCTCTGACGTCTTGGGCGCCCCTGTTACAGCATTGGCACCGTCTCGACCGCTCGCAAAGTTCCTGAAGCTCCACCTCCTGGAACCTCGCAAGGAAGTAAAACCAGTCTTTCCCATCATCTCCAAGTGAGACCCTGCCTCCCTAGTGAAGAGCACGCGAAGGAGAGGTAATAAACTTGACCAATCCTCGTTTTCTTGTCTCAAGGTTTCCATGCAGTGCCACTTGGAGAGCTATGTGGCAGCACCAGGTAGAGCGAGAGAGGTATTTCTTTAAATGCAGCAAGGTTGGCCGTCGTGGAACTCGTAAGATGGTATGACACAGCTCGTCGCAAGGTTGCTCCAGTGAGCTTCGTAAGAATCGAAGTTGAGGCCTGTAGGACGGATTAGATTGGATGGAGGTTTTTGGTTGTAACTTTTGAGTGATTCGATTGAAGGATATCTCTCACTCACCCAGGCTCCACAGGAATAACTCGATGGCTCGATTGTCATCCTCGACGCTACCGCTGTTTCCGCTCGGGGCTGTGCCAGCGATCTCGGCTAGACGACCTTCTTTATACCTGTGAGAGATTTCTCTTCCGGTTTAGATCGTAGGAACAAACTTAACTTACAGTTTGTTGAGCCAAGCTCGTTTTTTCTTGCGTGATTCTTGGGCTTTGTGTTCTCGTCTTGCGGTCACGGATGGATAAAAGATCTTCCTGTGGCAGTCAAGCAACGAGATTTGTACGGAACGAGAACTTGCTTGAGAACTTTACATCTTGTCATGGATAAGCTCGTCCGCGTTGTGCATCCACGCAGTGTCGCAAACCAGCCTCCATCCATTGTTCTCGCAACGCACGTATTCCTCTGTAATGCACAACTTGAGAGAAAAAATAAAGGTCTGGATATATATTTTGTTTCTACCTGTGGTTTGCTTCACGGGCTGTTGAAAACACCGTCGAGGATCGCGACCGCGCGTGAGAGGCCGGCGTAGCGACACGGAGTATTTTCGGGGGCTAAACGATCCCATGTCCACCACGGGCCTGTGTGTGTAAAGTTTGTAGAGAAGCTGGAGAACAAAAAAAACAAGGAGAAAGATTTAGCGAACTTGGTGGATCGATCGAGAGTCGATTGATAGAGAGAAAAAAGTGAAAACAAAAATTCTTTAGTTTCTCACCAAAGCTCACCAAAGGAGGAAACGTGATTCCACCGAGCCTAAAACGAATGTGTAGGCCGGTTGCCGAGTCTGCTAGCGCTGCCTGGTTTTGTAAGAAAGTGAAAACGCTAGAAATTTCAGAAACCAAAAGCAAGAACTTTTCTTTTTTTCCTTACTTCTGATGGATTGATTCTCCGAAGAAGCAGGCTTGGATGGAGCTTTTCAGTGTTAGTGATGAGGTCTTTGTAGTATCTAAAAACCTTCCTGTTCTGTAAGGAGAGAAAACAAGACTTCAAAACTAATAGAAGAAAAACTCACCGCGTAAGAATGCCAGCAGCGTTGGATCCTCCACGCAGCAGCGTGCAGTGAATTTCTAGATCGGCCCCGTTTCCTTCGTATTCTCCTGGCATTTCGGTGCTTCCTCCAGGCCGCTTGCAGCAAACGCGCAGCTTCTTTCTGCCAAAACAAAACAACACAAAACAAAACAAAAAAGGGAGAGAGAAAAAGCTGAAATACCGAAAGGGAAACGAAGGAAATCTCAAGAGAGCGGAGAAAGGAGAAACCATGGCAGCGAATTCTCTAGCGCAGGCCCTAGATTTCCACCATCCCTGGATCTTGGTCACATTCCACGCCAGGAAGAGATCGCTCTCCTTCGTGGAGCACAGGAAATCCACCGGCGTGACGCTCACATCCGGCGTTTCCCTGAAATACCTCCGCTGCTCGCCGCCATCCCCTCGCGCCGGGATCCCCATGATATGTCTGAGAACCCTAGTAACGTTCAAATGTAATGTTTCAAATTTAAATTTAATTTAGAATTAAGAAACAATCACATGAACTTAATCAAGATTCTGGAATCTTGCCTACTTGAGAATGAGAATATACTTTCTTGATAAGCCATTCCAACTCGGTTGTTTGCTATAATTGCTATTTCTTTTATAAATTGGGTCAGTATTAGCTTATCATCCTCGCTATCCGATGATCAGCAGGAATTCCTTCTGATGTGCTATGTCTTTGTGAGACGTACACTATTCTGCTTGGACACCAAAGGCCGACTCTGCTGCTCCGGGCTCTCACGGAGTTGCTATCTACTACAAGGAGACCATCTCTACAGTTGAGCTATTATACAAGCTGCTCTAGCAGGGCTGAAAGGCTCCCAACATGCATCAGATCTAGTGCTCCTGTTGGCTATGGGCTTCATTTCATGCGTAGCCGTAATCGTCTTTTGGCAACGGACGTTAAAGAAAAGCATACGGCTGACTCTTCGCAATCTACATTGACGCACTAGAGTCCATGATCCAGGGCAAAACACTCACGCCATATCAACTCTCGGGAATGTATTTATATGCACTACTTTACGTAAATGATATACTCTGTTTGGCTCCTCAGCTCGCCAAATGCAGCTTACCTCAATGCACTCAGCGAATTCTGTGAGGCCACATGCATGGAAGTCAATGGTGTTGGGCCAGGGTATTGCTCCTACCGTGGGATGGCACTTCAGGAAGTAGACCATTACAAGTACCTCAGATATGTTATCCACAAGAACAATCCATGATGGAGATCATAAACTGCATTACGGTACTTCGCATTCCACTCAGATTGTTCCAATGCACTTGTCACACACTGAAGTGCCAAGCGGCAATTTTTCATAGCCGAACTCTCCACGGTCATCTTGTCTAGGAATGATGGATGCTTTCTGGGATCAAGTGGAGGAGCTCCAATACCACTTCATCCGCATGGAGCTTCATATAGGAGATGAGTCATATCCTATCATCTGCTCGAGTCTGAATTATGGCCCTTGGAGCTCCTTGTGTGGAAACGGATGATCAATTATGTGAAGACCCAGTGGCGGCTCAGCAACCTGCAAACGAAGCTCTCAGTGATCTGAGCTCAAGAAATGGACAGCAAAGCTTGGCCCTGATCTCGAGGAGGTGCTCAAGAGTCCAATAAGACGATTATAGCTGGTGGATGGCATAGGCTTTTGAGCAATGGCTGCCAGCAAGAACAGTGGGAGCCATCAAGTATGCTATCTACCAGACAACAATCAATGCTATAGGCATGGATCCCCATGGCTATCATCATGCCCCGCCCTCCGTTCCCTCCCTCACTGTGAAGAAGAAGGGAGGGGGCCCATCTTCACTCTTGTCCAGCATGTACTCTTCATCTTAGCACAACCATTAGTTTGTTACTGTTGAATTTAGTGTAATTCCAAAGTGAGTCTTGGCTTAAGCATTTATAAAATCCAAAATATTTGCTACTAGTTTGTAATTAATATTTAGTAAGCCAACTTGTCTTTTCTCTTTCTCTCGCCTAATATTCTCATTCACACTCACATAGTCACGAAGTGCTACATACCATCCAAAGAAAACATCATATTTGCAAACTAAATCAATGGGAAGCTAGGGGTGAGGCTACAGAACCTTTTGTTATTGGTGTCATCACTCATATGGAGTCAAAAACTAAAAACTAACTCGAAAAATGAGAAACAAAATCGTGATCAAAGCCTCTGGGCACTAGACTAGTGCAATAGAATCAAGCAAGAAAGAGAGTGAGGATGCCATCTCCAAATCAGTGTGTTGCTTTGCCTTTTGCAATAAGCTTCACAACCCCACCTATGTGAGCCCTAGAAAGAGACTTTTTTTTTATCAGATCTTTACATTGAGTTGTGAAAAGTTTTTACCTTGCTTGAATGATTTGAATATTACATTTTTCTCCTGGGAATTGGTCTTTTTCAATTGCTTTCAAAACATAATGTTGTTGATTGAAACCATGGTAGTGAACCCATGATGCATTATTTATAAAAATACTACTAGTAAATGATAAATATGGGATGAGAGTATGACATTGTATCCTACTATCTAAGATTCTTAATTTTTAATAATAAAATTAAACTCCAAAACAATTATTTTGTTATAATGTTTTATTTTAATCTATTTGACTCTTATAAAAACAAAGATAAAAATTAAATATTTTATATATCATAAATAGAAAATTATGCTATATACATAAACCTTTTCTTTAGCTTTTGAAATTAAAATCAATTACAATTATGAAATCTATAATAGGATATATGTTCTTTTAATACTACAAATTGATTTACAATATATAGTAGTAACTGATACAAGATGTGATGAAATCAAAACAATATAAAAAAAATAGTTTTATGGGAATAATAACTTATTAATATTTTTTAAAAATTAAAAGTTTCATATGCTGTGATCTCAGCTCAATAAGCCCATAGTGCATCAAAATCTTTGTCTGAGCCTTGCTTAATATCGATTAATGCCATTAAAAATATCAGGCTATGATCAGTGCTTTAATATTTAATTTATTTGCATTGATTATTCTAAAGAAATAAGTGTAAAAAATGTTGAACCCATATTATTTTTAAAAATATAACCATATTTCCATGATAATGGTTTTGAAATTGGAGCATATTAATTAATAAATAAAAAATAAATTCTAAAATACAATTCTATTTTAAAATGAATAAAAATAAGCCATAGAATATTAAAATTTTCAAGTTTAAGTTTTAAAGTTTTTGTTTTATTAATTATGAGTATATGATTCTGATGAGTTTTAGTTAAAAAATTTGTTAATATAAAATGTTAAAATTATTCGTTTTATTTAAATTTCTACAATAATACCAATTAAAAATATTTTTCATATGACCTTTTAGGTGGATTCCATATTTTATTTTTAATACTTATGCATTTTAAAAATTGCATATCCAAATGTATAATACTCTATATTTTCAACTTTCTCATAATTATTATTACTATCTTGTATACAAGCATAAACTACACTTGATTTTTCCATAAAAGGTACATTATTAATTATCAATTAATATAAAAATTATGTTTGACAAAAGAAATTGTTTTAAATTTAAATGAAAGCCATTTTCTATCTTTTAGAATAATTGAATCTATTTCATCATCATTTAAATCATAAGATGCACTAATAGAGTTACCCATTCTATTAATTAAATAAATTTATATTTTTAAAAATTATAAATAATAATATAAAACAAGTTTAGCTTAAATTTTAAGTAGATTATAAAAATTTATAATATTAAAAATTAATCTATAAAGAAAATAGATTTTTATAGTTACCGTAAAAATTTAAAGAGTAATATTTCATATATAATTACAAAATATAAAGGCTATTATAAAGTTTGAAATTTTAAACTATTTTTTTTAAAATTATTTTCTATACATTAGGACTTTTCTAAAGAGAAAAGATTTATGTTAAAAATGTAATTGTTTTATGTGTTGCATATTTAATAAACTATTTATACATAGAAACCATTACTTTTTTTGTCTAAACTATTTCTTTTTCAAATTATCGTATATATAAGAAAATAAATCTGAGGAAAGAAATATTAAATATATTAAATGCTTTTATTTGGATTTATATGTTCGTTAATAGTTATGCTAAGAGTTTAATATAAATATACATCTAATCATATTCTAGATGCTTTGCTATTAAAATCAAATTTTATTAATATAAACTATTATTTAAATTTATAGTATTGAATATTTAACCTCTTAGTTAAATAATACCTACAACTTAGAAGAATAAGTTTACCTTTATATTAAGCCACAAGTAAAAAGGTGTCATAGATTCTTATATTGTCATTGGCAGTCCTTTATAGCATTTCTATAAACAACCTTTTATATTATGGCCATTGCACATAAAGAGATGTAATGGCAATACAAAAAGAATTTATGGAAAGAATAATAATTCTTAAGAAAATATTTATACTCAAGCTTTCAAAACTAGCTATAAATCTAAAATTTATATGTCAAACATGTTTATCATAACTTAATGTTAAACTGGGCCCATGAACTTTTTTTACCAATGCAAAATAGAATTTTATGCTTGCCTCTCGAGGCTAATAACACCTAATGCCATTGTTTCTTGAATAGGAAGTATATTTAATATTATTTGTAGATCAATAAAAACTTAATTAACTATCATATAATTATTATATTGCATTGATTGAACATTTGTAAGGCAAAGTAGACAGACTATAATTATAATGGATTTCCACTATGCTCTTGGTTTGATTTCACACTAGGAAGAGATCACTCTTCTTTGAAAATCCATTTGGCATAATATTTAAAATTCCTCAAAACACTCCATTTCAAATTTTCAAATGTGCTTGAAATATTTTATTAGCGGAAACCAAAATATCATTGTTCCTTGCAAATTAATGTGAAACTTAGAGATAATCTTTTGTAGAGCATCCATTTTCCTAAGCTACCACGTGCTCTAGAATGAATAATAATTTATCACCCATGGTCACAAACGGTGTTAGCATCATTGGTTGGTTTGGGAGTGGGCTATAATGTACCTTAAGTTTAGAGATATAAAGAACATTGTGAAAGCACAACTTTGGCAGAAAATAAAACTTATATACCACATTATTGATGTATTGTTCTATTTTATAAGGCCAAAAGAAATAGAAATGAAGTTTAGATTTGGAAACTACCTTACTTCCAATGGATGGGGAACAAAAGTTTAATGACAATGTTTCAATTGTTATTTTTATAAGTGTTTGTCACAGCAAACAGCAACATAGGAGATGTTAGATCTAAATGAAAAAACATAAGATTTCTTTTATCATCATGAAGGCCAAAAGAGAAATATTTCTTTGAGAGTTTCATCATCCCATGAAATATTAATGATGACTATTTGGAATTCTGATATATAATTTATTGATGGTGGTGTACTTTCAATAAATATCGTTAAATATG